AAAATACAATATTCAAGAAGGAGGGAAGCCGCAGTCACTAGGCAAGGGAGAGGGCGATCCAGTTACAAGGTTCGAATTTTCTGCTTGCCTCCTCCCTGAAAGGCAAATTCAAACAACATAAGTATTACATAAGAGTAATTTTAGTATTATAAAAGGGTCTTTTGTACAGTTGGTAAATAACTAGCACTATTTTGTGAACACTGGGCATTAAAGGTTTCGGTGCAAATTAAATAAAGGAACAAATACATTTTTAAAGCATTTTTATTGAGCATGGAGAACACTAAAGATGGACACTAGTTAGAGCATCTAGAGAAAATAAAAATAAGCGAAGACTTGGGGCTACGTAAAACAAACTTTAATAGTTAGTTTACTTCTTTTATGAATGATAGATTTAAGTGTTTAGAGGAGTGCTATAGGCGCTCATTTCAAGCTGGAGCGCCTATTTCAGGTTAGTTGACCTCACTCGGTAATAACTTGCTTAAATCTGTATTGTGTAACTTTGATCATATGTTCATTGATCCAGCACTTTAATTTATTCCTTCTAATTATTCGTCTGTTTGCGCACCATCCTGGTAATGACATAATCTAAATTGTGGTGTGATTGCTCTGTATTCGCAATTGCCGTTGTATCACTAGGATGAGGAACTTACCAACGAAGATTATAATTCGACATCTTCCACCGAAATTGACAGAAGAGCATTTTAAGGAGATGTGTTCTCCCATTCCACCCTACGACTACTTTCGATTTTGCTCTCCTGACCCTAGTCTCGGAGGTGAAAGCTTCTGTCGAGCCTACATCAACTTCTGCGACCCGGAGTCTGTCTTTGCATTTCGCGAGCGATTCTCCGACTACGTCTTTGTCGATTTGGAGGTTTGTCAACCTCTAATTCTGTGATGTTAAATATAAGCAGGAGCCATTTTTTTACATTTTACCTGCATTGGTTGTCTTAGTAGAATGCAACCAGGTTGTGCGGTGTGTGCTTTTGCTACTGGACGTACGCTTTTTCATTCACAAATTGTTAATACCATGCGATCATTTGCGGCTTAGTTTTTGTCTTCCAGGGCTTCGTCGTTATGTTCACCATGTCTCGACTTTTTAATAGAGTTTGTAGTATGCCAGTCCACAAACGCCTTCAAAACGCTTAGTATGTCTATGAGATGCTTTAATGTCCCACTTAACTCTTGTCTTTTGACTTTATTTCACTTTAAACGATGTCTTTTTTAGCTATTGTCAACTAGATTTTCCTTTCTTTCTTTAGTTCCACTTTTGTTGAAACTCTAGGCCCTTGTATCGGGGTATTGATTTTGCGTTCTAACATGTAGTATTGGTTACACTATTCATTGTTCGCTTCAGGGGAACGAAGCTACTGCCATCGTGGAGTACGCCGTGTTTCAAGGCACACCGAATACACAGCCCTTGAGTAAAGTTGACAGACGTCAAGGCACAATTGAGGAGGACTCAACTTATCAAAAATTTCTCGCTAATCTGAACGCACCGCCGCCCGAGACGGCAAATAATGAGGAAAGTTCTGTCAGTAAACAAACAGCTAAAACCCCGTGGGAGGCGACGCTTGAAGCTCTTGAAAAGCGTGAAGCAGCCGCCAGCCAGGTAATTAAGTCTACTCATTTGTCATCAGTGATCAGGATTGTGACAAGTGCTTTTATCATAGCAAATGGAGACCGCGCTCACCCGCTTCTTAAATCTACGTCTTGAGAGATGCAAGCGCAATGCAGGGGATGATTTCAAAGGTATGAGTAGACGAGGCATGAAGGCAAGCCGAAATGCGAGAAAAGCTCGTCAACGACAAGCTGCTCTTGCCGTCGCTTCCTCCACTGCCTCTATAAATTCTGACGCAGCATTACAAGGCGCCGACGCGCCACAGAAAGCCAGTGAAAATAATACTCTTTCTGTCGGTGAGTGCGACTGGTCGATTTGCTTGAAAGTCTAAACATACCTTCTTGCCCATAGGTAGTCGAGGAGGCCCAGAAAAATCCACCTCTGGCCGTCGCGGACCGAAGTCTAATCGTCCGAATAAGTCGGCTCCTGATTCTTCCTCCTTCAGTCGACTCGATGATCCGCAGCAATCTGCGTCGACGACCTCTACAAATCCCATCCCCATGAGTGGCGGTCGCGGCGGTCGACGGGGTGGCAGACGTGGCGGTTCCAGACCTCACCACAATGACGTCCCACCCTCCTATTCCTCGCGGTTAGTTATATCCTATCATTGTTCAGATGTTTGGATTTCTCTGAGCTCAGTCTCAATCGCCAGTTAGCTGGACCTGGTCGTAACGCAGTAGATCGAATAACCAAATAAATCAGTAGTTAACCGACTTAATTTCTCGCACTTCAGACACGCGGCTACAGTATCCGAGTCGCCATCCGGTGACGGTGGCAGTGTCGGTAGTGGAAGCGGAAGCGGCCCCAAAAACCGTAGCGGTAGCCAGCGGGGAGGGTCGTTCAGACCCTCTTCCTACTATTCACGTGGTAGAACATCTGCTGGTGGGGCTGCGTCTTTTAAGAAATGAAGTTGCTTACTGTTTTGTCAATGTACTGATGTATCTTTGTAATTTAACCGTTCGTACTGGCCTTGATTGTTTTGCAAATTTTTTGGTGCTGCTGAAGAATAAGCGACTTTACCGGAGCATTGTGAAACTGGTGCAGGATCATAAAACTCACGGCTTAGCTATTCCGTTTGATGTCAAATCAGTAAGTTAACGGCGTTGTCCTGTTGTAGCGACTCTTAACTGTTTGTGTTTAGAAAAAACGTTTTGTGTATGGGTGCGGCAGAATTGCTGCAGTTGTTTCGGGTAGTCTCTGAGGGAAATGGTTGAATACTTTAATAAGGTTGTTGCGTCTGATTTATTTTGAGATCAATTGGGGTGCATCATTTGTGTGATGGTGCAATAGTCGTCATCCATATTGCTCCTAGCTGAGAATTTCTAGGGAGGAGTTTGTTACATCACGCATGTTCTTTTGTGTCTACGGCTCCCAGTAATATAAATTTGCCTCCTTTTTTGCTTCAAGTTGAACTGGATTATCCGTTAGCGTTTCTGTGACAAGACTGTAGAAGGCGTTTGTAATTCTTACTAATTCACACAATAAAGTTGGCCTCCAAATGGCGCCAGACTCTTGCGGTGCTAGTTCAGTACATCATCTCAGGAGTAGAAATTTTGCTTGTGATGAACTAGCTGGTGGTTATAAAGAAATCCAGTGAAAATATGCTTATTTTATCAAGATGCACCCCTTCGATTAGAACAAGTGCAAACTGCCTGTCTTCCAAGAATGTGTTAGAAGAGTCGTTTGGGTCGATTCAGCGTTGAGTTTTTTCATTCCATCGTGAAGCATGTGTGACTTATACTTAATTGCTTTTAAACCACGAAACAGCTCAGCAAATATAGCGAGGTGCCAATGAATGTGTGTCGCACGAACGGAAGGGAGGAAGTCAAGCGGCTCCACTTTAGAGAAAATTTTGTGCCAGTTTTAAGAGGGATCATTGAACATCGCTTAGACTGTCCTTAGTCTCCCCAGTAATTTGAATCTCCCTGATTGTTTTGTAGTATTCCAAATATTGTTTTCCCGTTTCCCAATGGAATGCTACATTTACACCATTTATTCATGCCTCTCACCTTTGTGCTCATCAGTTGGCATTCTAAAGCTATATTGAATGAACTGATCCCTCATTAACACATGGGAGTGTGTTTATTTTGTTTCTGTAACTTCTCGCCAATGTGTGCACACAGGGAGAAGTCACAGGTTGACTGACAGGTGACAATGTCACTTGCACAGACCGAAATTTCCACTCTCGTTTGGGGTCAGGCCGCCCGATGAAGGTGCAATAGGAGGGTCTATAGTGACCCGTTACCAAAACTGAGAAGTAGACAGGCAATCAAGGCCTTGCATAGCCCCTTTCCCCTTTTGAGTGTCGACCTTGGCACTTTCCATGGGCAAACTCCTACGTCAGCCATCAATACGTAGTCGGTGCTGTCAACGAAAACACCCACGGACCAACCTCGCTAGCCATCGAATATTCATGCAACTGGAAAGATGTATGATCATAGTGTCACTGATCCCTCTTGACATATCTACCAGATCTGAAACTAATTGGGGAAGGGGACTGTGTTGGTCGTCATGCATGTCCATCACTAGTCGTAAAAACACTGACCCAAAAACAGGGTCAGCTAACGAAGGATGGGGTCTAAAATACGTTCGTGGGTATAGGGTTTCCCATCTATGCCCTCCAGTTTCTTCGTACTTACGTCAGCGCTGTCCAGCCATGTATCCATCTGGGTACCATCCAGCCAGCCAGTGTTAACCTATTTGACATCTTCATGCAGGTATGGTAAGCAGTTCGTAACCAGTTTTACAGGTGGCTTACGGTCAGTGTCACTTCGGTTGTTAATAGCAACCGTGTCCTGCAGAACACGAGACTGTGGTAGTTGCCGAAGGTGGACGTCATCATTAGCCCTTCTGCTGGAAGTCGCCACATATTCTCCCATCCGCAGCACATGAACCTCCTCCGCCCCGCCATAGTTCATCATCCAGAAGCATAAATTTGGGAAGTTGTCCTTAAGGTCGGGTTCGCATTCCACTGCCACCAATGTAGCACCTCGAGGCTTCCTTGAAGTCGACAGGAGACATAGAACTAATACCGAAAATTTACTTTCTGCCTACCGAAAGGCCGGCGGCCATGCTGGTGATCGGAAGTACAAAGGCGGAGCCTAAAGGCGCCCGCTACCAAATCCAAGAGTTTAGTAGACAATCAGAATTTTACGAGATATTGCAGAGGGGTGTGTGTAGCAAATAAAAATATGTATTGTGAAATGCTAATGCTAAAGGCACATCAACGCAAGGCCGAAAAGGCTAATGCATCGCTTTGCATTTAGCGACTCATTAAAAGTCGAAAAGTCATCGCAAAGACTCCTTCAATGCATTAAAAAAGGCATCATTCCGAAGTAACAAAGTTGAGTCGGTGAAATGACTTCTCACCAATCCCATCACTCCATAACACAAAGTCTTGGAAGTATACTGGTGAAGAAGGATCTAGCAACGACGGCAACTCGGAAAAGTTGGCACCAGAAGGCTCTTTCAAGCAAACCGCTAACCTGCAACCTATGAAGACGACGGCGTCTTTCCCACCCGACAGACGCGGTCGGTGGGACGATGACACCCGTTTCGGCGGCGACTCCAAGCCCACCTTACATACATCGCAGCGAGTTCATACCCTTCTCTCCAGCTTGTGATTCAATTATTTACATTTCTCAGCATATATGGGAATGGAAACCAAAGCTCTTCGGGTTTTTTTACCTAATTCCCATTAGAACGATACATATATTAACGAAGTACCAGACAGTCACAAAGTGGATCGTTACACGCCTAATGATAACATCCTTAGTTTCAGTTGCAATAAAATGACGTCTTCCGGAGCTCATAGATTACTTAAAGAATCGCCACAGGAGGGTGACTTTGCAAGATCCCGAACTGACCCAAGGATCGAGTGCGGCTTGTGGTACTTCCGAAGGAGAGACGCCTTGATGTGACCAGGTTGGAATTTGTCTACACCTGAAAGGAATGGGAGACAATCTGGAATGTCTAAGAAATCTGCCAATCGACGAAAAAAAATAGGACTTATGTGTGCAGTCAAATTCCACTTTTTCAGTAACACTGAGTACGTTAACAATTCCTGTGCATCTCTTCCGTCACTCTTGCAGCGCAATCACTGGTAAGTTAAAGCAAAAACAAAAAAGACGTACACGGTTGAGGTCATCACCAATGATCCTGAAACTGTGAGTAGTCAGGACATTGAAGAAAGCGGAGGAGGAGGACGAAGGCCTGCCCTAGAGCCTCTCATGTCCAATGCATGGTTTTGAGGGTTTCGAATATTTCGTCTCAAAGCATTAACTGAATGAAGGATTGTCGTAGAAGCGGTTTTTACATTCACCTTTCAACGAATACAATTCTTGCATAATATTTTTTTACAAACTTCTTCTGATAAAGAGCAGTAAAGAAAATTCTAGGAAATCCCTTAGTTCTTGGGCGTTGGACTCGAGACCTACTCCCCGAAGGTGTGAAAACTCGACCACCGGGATTAGCAGTCCCTTCACTGTTTTGCGTAGCGGGTTAGCAGCCCATTCATACTTTGGATTTTCCAAGCATATTAAGTTCAACATGGAGTGAATTAAAAAGGTTGTTTTTCTTGCCGGAAAAACTAGAGCCCTTTAGCAGTTTTAGGTAAAAGGATTGCTCGGTATTTCATCACGCCTCGAAGCTCTCCCATCTTTTTCATTCTCATGCAAATGGACTGCAACCCGATGCTATTAACCTTCACCAGTTTTAAGCCACATTCTTTGGTGGTAAATCTGAGCTCAAGATGAAACAGCACATCCCATCCAGGAGGTCATGGGGTACTCAGGAATCCCTAATATTAGTTGAATTGAGGCAAGTTTAAGAAAGGAGGACTATGTGAGATGCCGCTGGGGTAAATTTATCGCGTTCTACACAAAAAGAAGGCCGAAAGACCATACATTGCATTTCCACGTCACCAACTTATTAAATGACTCTTGATGGAAGTTGAAAAGACTTGCGTGATTTAACAGACAATCAAAATCAACCTTTTTTGTATATTATTCGGACTTACAGTCATTCAGATGCCCCCTCAGTGGCCAAACTGTCCAGGAGATCTGGGATGTAGATGCCAAGAGAAAGTTTCAGCCCGTCAATTGGCCGTATCAGATGGGCACTCTAGGAAGCGTCGGAGTAGTGCACGAAACCTGGTTTTAGCAGAAGCCATAGAAGAGGCGGCATTTTGCCCCAGTATTTTTCAAGGTAAGTTAGCATTCATTTTTAATGGGAGATTGTACTTTTTAATTAGTTGCAATGACCATGCAATACTTTGATTGTCTGGTTAACTCGCAGTTTAGGTAACGAGCCACATAGGGACTCCGCTATTGTACCTCCTCCGGGTGGTCTGGTTTCTGGGCCATGCCAGTAGTCCCAAGACCTTCCACAAGTCAACAATACATATTCACCCTGAGTATTGTGCTTTGTTTCGTATTTAGGAAAGACCCAAAGCTCTATATTGATGGCGGCGAGGAGCGTATATGACCTTAAAGGACAACTGCTCCGATGTTTACTGCTGGATGATCAAACTTAGCGTTGGGGGAAGAAGTGCGTATGCCGCGGATGGGAGAATCTGCGACGACCTCAAACAGAAGGACTGAAAATGACGTCTACCCACAGGAACTACCTCAGTCTCGTGGTCTAAAGGAAAGCTTTTAGCCACTGACCATCTAGAAAAGTTCATTACGGAGATGCTTACGGTGTTTGTATGAAAATATCAGCTAATAGAACACGCCGTACATCCTCCACCTCTCTACCGGCTGGGTAGAACTGCGATAGATATGGTTGGGCAGCAGTGAATTGAGAAGGAACAGATGAAAAACCCTCTTCTCATAAAAGTATTTCAAATACCGTCCTTTATTAAATTACTCTGCTTTTAAGCAAATGGTCTTGCTACTAGGGACGAACGTACGTGATGGCCAGAACAATTCCCGCCAGCAAATCCAGTTCCCATAAGGGACAAAAATCAAGAGTCTGTGGAATCGCCAAGAAGAATCAATAACGTTGCAGTGAGATGTCTTTTTAGTTGTATGGAAATTCGATGACTGGTGCGGTTGGCTGGATGTTTATGCTTTCATTACCGACCACCTTATGATGGCTGACTCGGGTGGGTGACCAAGGAGAGAGCCGGAGACGACGCTTGTTGAACTTTCGGTTTTGATAACCGGGTTCGCTACTGTACTTGTGCAGGGTGGGCTGACCTCCAGGTCATGCCGGTCGCCACCCAAGCGCTTCCGGACATCGAGGACACATATTCTGCCCGAATATTCTGTCCTCTTTGGTCTAAGGTGCTGCAATTTTTGCGCATTTGTCTTTTTTAAATATTTGTCTGCGTACACTGTTGATGTTTTTTGGAAAATGTTAAGCAGAACTTGTATAATTTTTAAATGAAAAACACAAAATTGGCTGGAACTTACGTTAGTCTCTTAAAGGATCTTTTTGTATTGAAATAAATTGGAACACTCGAGTACATTTTAGTCATCTGATATTTCCGTACAAAGTAAGTACTCGGTGTTGTACTGCGCCTCAGCCTTCTGCGTTTCTTTTCCCATGGCCTATTTGTCCACGTTCACAGTGTAATCACTTTCTGTAACAATTGAAGTCTTAAAAGGAAGTAACATGCTTTATTTAGGCTTCCATGAAGGGACGCTAGGATTGATGTATCCTGATTTAAGGGTGTAAGATAGGCGTGTGGTTAGAGCTCGAGTTGCCGCTGAAGGCGCTATAATGCCTACCAGTGTTGAAGTAGCTCACGTATTCATCTGCGTAGTTGGGACGAATTTTATTGTTTTGCCCAATATCCATACATTACTTTGTCCGTATTTTAGACACGCGGCCGTAGCCATCGAGTTGTCCAAGTTCGCCAGAGATGGTGGTGGTCATGGTGATGCTGATGGTCTTAGTCGCCAGAAGAATTGCAGCAGTGTCGATGGTAGGGGAACCGCGTCTCAGGTGCTAAAGAACACACTAGACCAGACATGTAGTCTTGCGCTCCAGACCTACAGCTTAAAAACAAAGTAATGTAATCGGTATTCCTTTTTACTATTCCAGGCAACAGGCAAGCCTCTAATACGCATCTTTGGGTTTAGTGCATAGAACTAACACTTATTCAGTGTCCAAATTATCACTGAACACATTTTAAGTTATGGGAACCCGGAAATTGCTTATTTTCTTAACCCATAAAGGGGTTGAAAAAATACAAGCATAAATCCATGCCCCTACCGTAGTGATCTACGCCCAGGATACCGAGGAGTCTGACTTTCCGTGAAATTAATGTCATTGCGAAACCCTTGTATGATAACGCGTCAAATTTTAGACACGCCGGTTAAATGATCAAACTGCTTAAGTCCAGCGGTGACAGTGATCGTGTTTATAACGTTGACAAACATTTCGAGGATTAATCGAGCTTTAATAGGTGACAGGCTCATTCCTCACTTCACGATTACGGATTTTCCGATGATAATGCCCCCTTAAGCAAATGGTGAATTTTCCTACCACCTGTAAGCTTTTGGAAATAGCTTTCTGACCATTTTCAGTAATTGTTCTTGCCTACCCAAATTCACGAGAGCTCAATAAGTTATCACCACCATTTATTTATGTTTATGAATACAGGAATACCAGGTGGGTAGATGTGATGGTTAGAGCCTCGCAGTGGCTGCGTAAAAAATTAAAGGAATGTGATTTCATTCTGTCAAAGCTTAAAGTCAGAAGTTTTATTTATTAAACGTTGATAAAAAATTTTAAGCAAAACTTGAGGACCTAACTCAAAGCTTTTAAAAGTTGTTTCCCTTATAGTGATTTGGTATGGTGCCTTCAGACTTCCCCGAAGACGAAGAGAGAGTAGGTCTTGCGACTACTGCCATGACCTGGAGGCGAGTCCACCTTGCATAGGTACAATGGCCTAGCTCCTAAGTGGACTTTTACTAAAACTGAGAGTTAAATAAAGAAGGTTTTAGTTGGACCTCCTCCCCTGTTGTGAGCGTCAGCCCTAATGCTCCCCTTAATCAACCTCCCGCATCAGCCATCACAACGTAATCGGTGCTGTAAGGAAAATACTTGCTAACCAACCGCACCAGTCGTTGAATTCTTCATGTAACTGAGGTGATACTTGGCTGAAACGTCGTTATTCCGTTTAGGCTACTCCACTAGGTCTGGAGTTCTGTCCCATTTGGAAAGTTCATTTAGAGAAGGCGGAATGTGCTGACCTTAACGCGTGCCTATGAGGGATGCTGGGCTAGAAACAGTCAAGTAACAAAGGATGACACTGAACATAGTTTCTTGGGGGTAGGGTCTGGTGTCTATTCCTTCCTACCACTCTGTTCTCACCTCCGAGCTGCCTAGCCATATCTATCTGCTTCCTATCCAGTTAGTGGAGAGGTGGAGGAGGCATCGCAAGTTCACTTAATCGATGTCAGCTTACAGGTACCGCAGACTGCTCCGTAACGAACTTTTCCGGATGGTTCACAACCACAGGTAGTGTTGCCTCAGTTGTTAATGTTATTCCTGCAGAACATAGGACATCATTTTCAGCCCTTCTATTATGGGTCGTTACCGGTTCTCCCATCCACAGCAAAGTGCGCTGCTTCTGCCATGCTACGGTTCATCATTCAGCAATGGAAATCAGGGCATTTGTCCTTTTGGATCGGGTTCGCTTTTCATTGCCACCAATGTAGCGATCCAAGCTTTCTCTGAAGACAAAAGAAGCCACAATACTTAAACAGGCAATGTATTATCGGCATAGAGAAGGGCTTAAGGCTACTGGTATGGCTTGCAGGCCAGGCTGCTTAGAGAGGTTACAGTGGCAGAGACCCTAGGTGGCTCACCACTTAATATAGAGGGTCAAACAAACAACTAGTGTACTACAGAAAATAATCAGGTGGCATTAAAAATTTCTATTTTATACAGGTCAAAAACAAGTTTAAGGGGGTGAAAATAGGGCCTCTACGTTTAACTCTAACATTTGAGAAATTTCAGCCGAGAATTTTTCATTATGAGTGGACCATCCTTAGGCAACTTGAGTCCCTTTGCTATCGTTGGTAAATCCATACACCTTTACTACTTTAATGGAAGTTTTGAATGTGGAGTAAAATAATATTCCCAAGTTTTAGCACTCGTAATAATGTTAACAAGATAATTTCAGTCCTCCCTCCCACAGCACTTTCGCGATCCTTTCGCATTGGTCAAAGACGGAAATTCTAATTTGACATCCAGAGTGGGCTAACTCTCTGTAATCGGAAATGTTCGTAACTAGCTGAGTTCCTTATTTCCATAGAAGAATTTGCCGCCTGTACACCTGCGTCATACTTGCTATTGTGGGTAGGTAGGGCCTCCTGCGAGCCAACTGAATGTTACCGGGAGTGAATGTCGTATTTCCGACTTCACCCACAACATTTTATCGCAGAGACGACCACCTAGTGGAAACAATTTTCCTTGTAAAAGGGGAAATCATGCGCTACGGTGGTCACACAAGCAGAGCTAGTAAATCCTGATTTATCTAAATTTTGCGTCAAATATTTGTGAAAGCGAGAGTAGCGAGGTCTTTTGCTTCATATAAGAGTTTAGCTTTTCCCATATAAAACCAGCGGATAAATAATTCTGCTTGATGGAGTGAGTTCAACGGATACAACATTAAGACGATTACAGCAGGGGGAATTGGCCATCATGTCATCTAAATCTAAGGGTGCCTTTCTGCCAATCATTGAATTGTATACACTATTCAACTGGTTAGCCTCTTGTCAACAAAAGCGGATCTAATGTAACACATTGGTTGTTTGTTTAACTCGCGGTTTTGGTAAGGAGACCGCTTGGGTGCTCCACCACTACACCTTCGCTGGGTGCCATTAGTCCCAAGCCCTACTGCTTCTTGACTAGATATATTCTGCTGGAGTATCGTGTGTTCGTTCGTCTTCAGGCAAGTCTCGGGGCGCTATATTGATGACAAAGGAAAGCAAACCCATTCCTAAAGGAAAGCTAGCCTGATTTATACTGCTGGGTGATAGGAGGATCTATGATGTCCCCCAACACGAGGGCTGAAAATAACGTCTACTTTTGGCAACTACCACAGTACTATGGTCTGTGTGATAGCTATTAACAAATAAAATGACACTACCCATGGTTGTGAACCATCTGGAAATGTTTCGCCATGGAGCTCACAGAGGTTCCTGCATGAAGATATTAACTGTGTGAACTGGCGATACCTCCACCAATTTCCTACTAGCTGAATAGAACCCAGGTAGACAGGTATGACTGGACAGCACTAAGGTGAGTATAAAGTGGCAAGGAGGAGTGGAGGCGAAACCGTGTGTTTAATCCCGTCCTTTGTTATTTAGCTCTGCATTCAGGTCAGTATTCTTACGACTAGCCACGGGTACACGTGATGGCAACCACATTTCCTCCTGCCCTAATCCGGTTCCCATACGGGACGAACTTCAGGATCCATCGATGTAGCCCGGACGGATCAATGACGTTTCGATTAAGTATCTTCTCATTTACATGGAAAAATGATAATAATACGGTTGGTTAAGGTGGGAGGTTGACCAAGAGGAGCACGGTGGCGACGTTCAAAATAGGAGAGGCGGAGTGTGTTACGTTTGGTGGTTGTTGAATTCCACGTCTGTGTCTTGCGGGCACTTAAGCCTCAGCATTTGTACTTCCGCTGGGTGACGTGGCCTTTGGGCCATGCCACTAGCCTCAAGCCCTACCGTATGTCGACAATGCATGGTCTGCCCCACTGTTATATCATATTGTGTCCTCAAAAAGTCTCGGGGAGCTAAGAAACTAATTTAGCAATTATTAAATAACAGTGAATTCCAACACTTCATAATAGTTAAGATGCTTGTCCCTTACAATGCACCTTAGGCGTCACCGCGTTTGTTTGTTAAAATCTCCGCCTTCGCATGAAACCGATTCTGATAGAAGTATATGCGCAGCATTGGACTTATCCTTCTAACAAATTATCTGGTTTAAACCTAACCTCACATTGATCCAGGCACTCAACTCTACTGGACCAGTAAGAAGTCTCACGCAGGACTACGCTTATTGGTAAAAGTGAAAAGGTACTCATGTCGGATCCATCTCAATTAGCTCATGCCGCTAGATGGCGATGATGGATCATCTACTTTGTGTGGTTAGCAAGTCATGATTGTTATGGCCTGGTAAAACCTTATGCTCTTTTAAAGTCTATCAATTTTAGTTGATAGTAAGACCGTTCTGGATGCACATAGGTGAGACCATCTATTAGGAATCGGCAACCCTTCCAGTCACATGCTATGACATGAACCTAGGCCGTGACCAGCGATGTGTGATAATACCTTCAAATAGACAGAACATTATTATATCGTGAAGTTCAAGCAGAAAGCATAGCATTCGGACGGAGTGATTTGTACTTCTGGCGTTGGCCAAATACACTTTCATCCACGATTAGGGTCCTGCTTAGTTATTTACTCCGTTCATGTTTACGATAACGTGCATTCGATGAGGGAGTTTATTAAGTCTTGTATCCAAAAAATGGATGCGGGAAAGATCAACAACTTCATCACCATCAGTGATCGTGATTATTAATTAGTTTCCCTTGAGAAACCACTAATTGGGGGTAACTGAGGTCGCAATAAAGTCATGTTTGTGGTGCAGTATTTTACAGGGAACAAAATAGGTTCCCTTAGCGGGAGGATGGAGCATCTACCATTTCTTCCCACTCCTCGTAAACATCCCCTCATTTCTCGTTATAAATTATTCACTCGGAGAAAATATAAGCAGTCGAGTTATTACTTCCACTTTTCCCCTTGGAGGGGAAAAGTAACGCACAATTTATTGTCTTTGCGTGAGGACGTAGGTATGACTAAATTCATTCTTATTTCTTACTAGCTAGGCAGTACTTTTCCAAACTGAAGCATTTCAACGCTTGAGCCCTTCAGTAAAACCATGCGTCGAGGTGATTTTGTCGTGTATTACGGTGGAGAGGTTGTTGAATTTTAAGGATGATGCTGTAGCTCCCCAAGACTTCCCTGAGGATGAGAGAAGACACAGCACTCGGGCTTGGGAGCTAATGAGATGGCTCGGAAGCCAAGCCGCCTTATGGAGGTACAATGGTGGAGCACTTAAGTGGCCCATTACCAAAATTGAGAGTTAAACAAATAATTAATGCATTATAGGTGCATTCTGGATCACCATTTGTTGCCAAGTAACCTTCTAATCTGCCCATGCAACTCAAAGGTTAAGCGCACTTCTAAAAATGAGTTTTGTGTAGGCTCTAGTTACCGTTTTTACTAACTCCTCTGTTTCTTCAACTCATTCTCATTTTAAATTGCACAAATGTTCTACTAAAATGTAATTTATCAACCAGTGCTGGAAAAGTTTTGCAAGTAAAATAAATCAGGCTATATGTTCCAGTATTCGAAGTCTTTTACTGGCAAACAATTAATCATATTCAAACCATGGGGTGTGTCAGCCTGAGGTACCGTAACACTCCATTCACTCGAGTATCTCATACTGTTGGCATAAATCGCATCTGCTTACCATTTGTTTTTAACCTGTGACAGGTGTGACATTATTGCTCTCTCACAGGATTACCTGTGTAAACATTTATTGTCACGGTTACTACTACTCCCTGATCACGAAGACAAACATGAGCAAAAACCTTTCCAATAAAACGTACTGCCGAGAGGAAGATACAAAGTGTTCTCTTGTGACCCCAGCGACTGTCGCATGGGGTCTGTGGTCAGCCGCTCATTAGCACTGCAGCTCCCAAATTCACTCATCCATCACCTCAAGCAGCGGAGGTGAAGGGACTCAAGAGCCTGGCGGCACTACTCCGTTAGTAGGGCGTCGGTGATTAGTAACTCAAGGCAACATCACTTGAACTCCGTATTTAGGCGGTTGTCAACGCCGCTTGACAAACACTTGAGCACCGTTTTGTTCCCGTTTGTAGGAATAAATTTACGTACCAAACATCTAATTTCCTTCGATTTTCTTTATCAAGTTCAAACTCCTCTGTGTTCTTCTAAGGAAAGGGAAATCACATTCTCGGGATCGCTTCCGTGAGAGAAAGAGAAGAACGCCGCGGTTGACTTCCTATTCATCTAGTAATTCATTATATTAGTCGAGCAATATGTGAACCTGATCAAGCTTTCCCCTCAGAATTATCTTCTTATGTAAAACAGCTTTATGATTGACTTTGATGGCTTTTAGCAAGGGAAGTTAGGCAGTTCCGTAGTTCCAAAATCGGTGTTTACTGCATCCACTCCTATTACCCTTGATCATAGTAGTAAACATTGTAAGCGCCTCAATGGGTGTGGACCTTTCAGTGTTTCGAGAAGGGGATTATTTGATTTAATTATGCCTTGAGACGCTAATTCTTCTGTCTTTCACTTTCAACCGAGGGGGCTGACTTACATCTGGGAGTGGAAAAACATGAATGGAAGACTAGAAGGGCAAGACAATTGAAAAAAAAAAACAATGCCCAGAGGAGTGAAGCAAACGCGCCAGGGAGTACCGGAGCCACTTGATGTTGTCACTGTCAATGCAGAAATGACGCTGTGTGGGTGGTCACACACATGACAAACTGACGTCAGGATAAGGTGCGGGTGATGTATGAGCTCGCCATTGTTCACTACTCTTTCCCTATCTATCTCTTGCAGCGTTTCACATGATAGTCTACCACTTTGTAACTTTCAGGGCCTTTTAAACATTTCAAATAATTTTTTATCCCGACAGCTATTTTCGGCAGGCTATAACAGGGAAGAGGGGGAGAGTTGCCTTGTGCAAGCCAGTAGTTCACACTGGAACCAGACCCAAGAGTTGCAGCCAACGGAAACTGACTAAAGTGCAGGACGTAGGAACAAGGCTAAGGTGTGGAGGGAAGAACCCGTTCAACTGCTAAAAAATCTCATATTTCTCCATTAACCAAGTGACTGCACTTTATTTTACTCCATTGTTCTGTAAGGAACAGCGGATTTCGCTTTATCTCTCGAAGCAATGGAACCATGTTCTGGCCACTTCATCTTTCTTCTACGTCACTCGCATTTCCCAAGTGTCCAGTCTATTTCGCATGCGATCATGCAGTTCTCCAGCCATTAACATGTCAAGGTAGAAATTGTCAGTTGGAGAAAGATTGGGTGAATATGAAGGATGCGGCTGTAGCTGCCATCCCGTGCAGGAGTGCCAATTCTCCTCTGGGCAAGTTCTACGCTGGCAAGTAAGCATGATGGATTGAATAATCATGACCATTTCTAAAGCAATTTCCCTAACAAACCTCTGGGTGGCGTAGATAATCTCATCTGTAATTGTTGCTTACCCTCCAGCACGTAAACGGCTCATGGTGAACAATCGTACTTGCAGTCTGCAACGCCCTAGACATGTATGGCTTTCCGGGAATGAAGTGATGCCTTCTTAGTGAGTCGTTTGGCCATGAACAAAAGTTCGCTCACAATACATGTACTAAAGCCCAAAAGTCATTTATTATCACAGGTTAATTGGGCGGTAAACGCCCTAGAAACAGCACGTTTGTACTGCTTATCGCCGCCTTTTGGTGCATGACCTCTGGTACCCATTACCTCAGCAGCTTCCACTACAGCTTCCCCGTTTGATGTAGGCGGAAGCGAATTGTTGCATAATTCGCCTTCAACATTAATGAAGGCTGTTCTTAGTACACCGATCTCAATCCCCTTTCCTTTTCTTCCTTACCAAGGATGGAGTCCTGCTGAACTTGATGCATTCAGCTTCGAACAATGCAAAGCCCATCACCAGAAGGGAATGAATGTAAGCTGTTTCGTTAAATCAACTTCTCCCATTCATTTTCAAAACTTGTGTCTAGGAATTCTCTTACACGACACCCGCAGCGATCAAGTGGGCTTTCGCTGCACAATGTCAGATAGGTTCTAAACTACGTCAAGACGATGAGCGCTAAGCGATAATTACCTTCTCAAAAGTGTTCAGCCCTATAACAATTTACCTGGAATTTCCTGCAAACTCAGTTTCACCTAGATTTCTTTCGTAAACCAATGGTTTTCTTTTTCAGTGACTAAATGCGATATTCCTACAAGCCACTTCCTCGCGCTCAAAATGTATATGATAGGTTAGACTGCCAGTAACGTAGTCAGGCACAGATAAGTGATGGGTAGTCAGCCAAGTCACATTAATAAGGTTGACGCGTAGGAGCCCACTCCAAACCTACATCTAAATGATGTTCGATGACTCGTCTTCACAACGCAAGTTTGGAATAAAAACCGGTCGGGAGGCAAATCACACCTTTCCTTACAATAATTTGCGAGACAAGATCTCACATACACCGCATTGTCATCAGGTACTAACGTTTATTTCCATATCAAACAGCCTAAAGCGTCACCAATACTTCATCATGAAATAATGGAAAAAAAGTACTCCATAGCCTCTACGTGGTTAAGTGATAGCCAGACATCGACGACCCAAAAGAGGGGTCGATTTTTCGAAGAAACGTAACTCCTTATACCGTTGACAACATTGGTCATCTCAATTATTTACTAGAATCAACACAAGACGAGAACCACGAGCAAACGCAAGCGATACTGGTCAAAAACATAACAAATATCAGAAATAAGCAGCTACAGACCCAATGCATCCTAATAAAACAAAGCCAGAAACATAGCCGAACGAATTGTCTATCTAAAAAAGAGGCATTCAATGAGACCGAAGATGTGCTAAGTGTAAAGAATGGTAACAAAACATCAGAAGGACGAACCGACATCCAGCATTTAGTCACCCAACCAATCGACTAGGCATTGTATACGCCAAATTCCAACAGTAAAGCTCGAAGAGTATTGTATTTAATGCACGATTATGTAGTATATACACCACGCAAACAGAGGGATCTGCAATAAGCACAGGAAATACCGGTCAAAAGACCTACTGACAAGGCAATTCTTGCCAACGCTGGTGACGCTCCGGAACAAAGTCGACTATTTTCACATGAACAGCCTGGTACTTCTCGTTTTTGGGAGGAATGAGAATTTTCTTAAAAAGGACGCGATCACCCGCCAGAGGCACTACCTCACCATCAATACTACACAATAACTGTTCGTATTACATATTTTAAACTCACTCGAAAACGTGAACAAACAAAAGCTCTCCGTTGTCCGCTTTAATAAAGCCATGACCCTTCTCACGACAGAAGGAGGTGATTACGCCTCCTTCTTCAGTAGCTTCAGCGGCTCTTGCACTCTGCGAAAATGTTCGATTACGTTTATGGATGATTGGACTGGGGATCGAAGGCAAGGGAGAAGAGGGTTCACCGGACTCAAACATCACTCATCAAAACCAGAAGCATACGAACTATTGAAGTAACCGCCACAATCGAGTTTAGAAAAGCACGTGTGGACGGACCAATAAATAACAAGGACCTAATAAATTGAATATTTAAATAAGCAGAGAAAGGATCATTAAATAAGTACAGCAAAACCTTAGCCATGCTTGTTGACATTTTTGCCTATATTACTAGTTACTAAGCACTATAAAAGGTGAGTTATATGTGGTACATGTTTTCAAAAAAGGTACACTGCTATACCTTATGTTCATTTAATAAGAACCTTAAAAAGATTTCAACAAATAAATTTACCAATCGCTTGCCAAAAACTTTCAACTTTCGGGTATGCAATTACTAACTCTGGATAGTCATAACCTGCATAGTTAAAAAACCAATACTTTCTTATTGTCATATATTGGAAATTTTATGGAGGAAAGTAAGTCTGACCTACTAAGGTACACGCATGAGTTGTACGCCTTTACGACCCGCTACCCACCAGCTATCACAGAGCTGCTATCTTTCAGCGTCCATCAAAACCTAGCCTCAAGTTCAACGCAAATGAAGTATTTCAACGCAAATCATTTGCCGCATTCATATTTATGTAAAACCACAAGGGTGTAAAAATGCAAATTACAAGCTTGGAGAGCTTTGCTAGACTAGAAAAGCCTACCGCTTTACCTTTAGGCTTCTGCTTCTGTAGTAGTGACGATTGCCTCGTAGGTCCAGTGAATCTTTTAGCACGTTAAAGTGGCATAACGGGATGTATACTATTAATATGGAGAAAGACGAGGAGTGTACTATCACGAAATCTAGGCCTGTGAGGCAAAGCGCAAGTTCAGTATGTCGGGACGAAGTTGCTTTTATGGCCATATAAAGGTCAAGCATCGACCCCGACATTTCCTCTAGTCGACTGTAATACGATAGTGGTTTATCCCTCGGTTCTGGTGAGGCGCCACCTTTGTACTTTGAATTAGCCCCCTTGTACCTCGCTGGCTGGGGCTGGCCTTTTGGACCATACCAATAGCCCAGACACCTTCTCCGTGCTGAATATATATATTCTGCCCGAGTATTGTGTCTTCTTTCGTCTTCAGGGAGTCTCGGGACGCTACACGACAGTCGCAACGCTGCCAGTGCACGGAAAATAACAGTAACATTTGTTAAATTATCGCACACATAAATGTATTTGACCACCTGTGACTGACGCATCCTGCCAACTACCCTGCATCTAATGCTTCGTTCAATTTATGAACCGCATTGGGAAGGTAAATACATTGGATTAACACTGCTCAAAGCCAAAGGGGTACCTTGCTTGGCCAATTAGCAAAGCCGTTTCATAAAAGCCATAGTGGTGTAGAAGATTGCGCATCACATAGAGAAGGACTGTGGACGGCTATCAGCACACTTAAAAGTTATTATTAGAACAGGACCATCATCTACAGGAACACGAATGCCTGCGCAGCCAAACGCACAGTTAGGCCACATAATTTAGCAAAGTGCTGGACCACCACGATAATTATGCTAGGTGAATGTGTTTTTATTTTCGTGTGCATAAGACTAAAGGCTTTGTGTACAATACCCAGGTGGTAGATCACGGTTTCTCTCGGCATTTTTTTTAATTTTTTTAATTCTGTTTACATTCATTAATTGGTTTAAGCGACTTCTTATTAAATTTTATGGCGGCATTTGTTATCATCGACTAATTCTACCAATAAGAGTTCACCTAACTAGATCCCATGTTCACTTTCTTTCGTTGTGCGCGTGCTGTCGCGTGTCGAGGGGGTGCCTCCGGAATGGCGACGGAAGGTTTAAGTAAGAAGTGGGTTATGGGTACATCTTATTCATTTCACATTATGCTCCCCTCCGTCCGTTCACTTCATTCCCATTTTCATTTTTGGGATCAATGTTTTTCTGAATTAGACCCACTTTTCCTGACCAGTGTATACCTTAGACACCCTTTTTCTTTGTTATCAATTTCAAAGAATAATTTTAGCCATCAGTATACCTTTGTCGCTGTCTCATAGTTTGACGCTAATTACTCTTAAATACTCAGCGCCCTAAAAAGGCAGTTGAAAGCTGCTGAAAAACAGAAGAAAAAGGCCGAGTCAGTAGTCAACTCTTTGAATCAAAGACCGAAATCAAAGGCAGCTGCGGAGGAGGAGCTCGATGCCACTGTAAGTCACCATGTCTTGTTGGTTAATTCACATCTGATACTTGTGTATCTGTTACCTTTTGCCTTTAATTACTTTAGCAATACTTTGAAATGCGCAAAGCTGCCATTCAAAGAATGAAGTCTGGTCCTATTCAGCCTTATCCACATAAATTTCATGTCACTCTCAGTATCAGTGACTATATTGAGAAATACAGCTCCTTGAAACCCGGCCAGCATTTGGATGATGTTGAAGTTAGCATTTCAGGTGAGCTATAATTAGATTTTCGATCCTATAGTGTGCTTTTCCCACAATAACGTCAAACACTAAGTTCGGCATTGTGGTTGTGCATTTGTCTTGACTTTTGCTATCCAAAAGTAGTAATCGTTTCTCTATGTATACAGGCAGGATTTATGCTAAGCGTGAGTCTGGCTCCAAATTAGTATTCTACGACGTGATGTCGGAGGGCAAAAAGTTGCAGGTGATGTCCAGCCTGAACGAGTATCACGCAGAGATGGAGTTTTACGAAATCAATGAGATGCTGCACCGTGGTGACGTGGTTGGGGTTGTGGGAAAGCCAGGGAAATCGAAGCTCGGTGAACTGTCCATCTTACCCAAGAAGATGGTTCTGCTGGCCCCCTGTCTGCAGCAGTTGCCCCATCTCCACTTTGGCCTTAAGGATAAGGAGACTCGTTTCAGACAACGTTACCTTGATCTCATAATGAACGATGACGTCCGTAAACGCTTCATCATGCGGGCGCAAATTATTGACTATGTGCGTCGCTTCCTCAATTCCATGGGTTTTGTTGAGGTGAGGGTCTTTTTTCACATTTTAATTACAGCGTTATGTGCTGGTAGTGATGTCCTCCCGTCAGAAGCAAACTGTGGATCCTTTTACGTCACCCACGTTTACTCGGCACTCGGCGGCACCGTACGGCAATTTGTGATGGTCACGTTTCTACTCCTTAAACCCTTTTACTAGATTTATTGAGGTCATTGTGGATGCGGGTGCTCCTAGTGAGTCTAGCGTTCAATATCGGCGCTCTTTAAAATTGATTTGGGTCCTGCACCATGCGAGCCCATGGCTGATTAAGTTTACTCTACTTACAACTACTGAGACGGATCAATCTCATTCTCACTTCTTTAAAGGCACTTTAAGGTGTGAATATTCCGATTAGGCATATACAAATTGCTGTTTACTTCTGACAGTAGCCTTAAGCGCCGTCGTTTTGTAGAGGGAAGGCATTCACTGTACTGAGGTTCGCAGTTGATCCAATTTTCAACCGACTATTCGTCACTTGGGTGTGTTGGGCAAGTATTTGGAACTTATTCAACCGATTCCTGTAATATCTTTCACCTTTTCATTAAAGGTTGAAACTCCCATGATGAGCATACTGCCTGGTGGTGCGGCCGCCAAGCCCTTCGTTACGCATCACAATGATTTGGATCTGGACCTCTACTTACGCGTATCACCCGAACTCTTCCTCAAGATGCTTGTCGTAGGTGGAATGCCGCGTGTTTACGAGATCGGCAAACTCTTCCGTAACGAGGGCATTGATCTCACTCACAACCCAGAATTCACCTCGTGCGAGTTTTATATGGCTTTTGCTGACTACAACGACCTCATTACAATTACTGAGGATTTGCTCTCCGGTGAGATCTTTTCGCTTTGTCGTTGCTCAGACAAATACATTTGGCAGAAAACTATGCAGAATGGTGGCAGAAAGTGGGATTGGCTGGCTTTCCAACTATACTTAGTCACTGGGTTGTCGTACCTACGTCATTCTCCGCATGCGACTGGTTAGTCAGTCCAAGCGTGGGCGGTAGTATTCGGTGATGCGCCCAGATCTCGCCCTTCACACGCATACTTGACGTACCAATTTCGTCATTCTGCTGTGGCGTCATTGTCTGATGCATTAGTCGCTTTCGGGTACTCCTCCCATCCTCCCCGAGTGGCACATTTCAGTTGTTTTCTCAAAAATGCTGTTTAGGAAGATGGGATGTATGGAGAAATAGTAATGGATGTGCAGTCATCAATTTTCATGTTTGACGGTTTGGCCAGTCGCGTGTGCTAGTTGCGTCTAGTTTTTCGTGATTCTCTATTTCTGATATAAATTTGTATCGCATTTCCCTCTGCTATTCACTGATGTGTGACTCATCATTTGAACAGAATGTGAATTTACGAAAAAAGTTACCTTTCCTTACGCCGTTTTGCATTTAGAGTGAGAATGAGACTTGTCTAGTACTTTCTCATACGTATTTAGGTTGAAGTTGTTACATGCACTCATGGTGGTGATTTTTTTGCGTCTAAACGTAGTAGGTTCATTTGAAGATTTTACGTTGGCTCCGCAGCTCTTAGCCTCAAGCTTGGATGAACACGCCTTATTGAGATGTAAGCATAGTTCAGAAACTAAGGCGAATGTAATCTAACAGAGGATTTGTCATTGGGTATCGATAACCCGTTGTGCATTTTTTTTCTCTTTGGTGTGCAAAGGCAAACTTGGGCAATGATTATTCCCTGACTATCATGGATGCACTGCAGATGCTTAGACACGCGATAGGAAAGTTTAACGGAACATGGCAGTTTAGTAGCTTGAAGTTGATAGTGGTCATGGCGTCGAGGTCACGCCTAATTAAAGCATGATGGTTCTTTTTTTCTTTCCTTGAGCATAGGTATGGTGATGAAGTTGTTCGGCACCTACAAGGTGACTTACCAGCCGGAGCCCGACATGCTCCCACAGGAGGTCGACTTTACGCCGCCCTTTAAACGTATCGACCTCTACGAGGCTTTGAAGGAGTACTATCCGGGTGCGGAGTTCCCACCTCCGGAGACTCTTCACACCGAGGAGGCTCGTCTCAAACTGGTAGCCATTACTGAGAAATTTGATATTCAATGCAGCGAACCAAAAACCTCTGCGCGACTCCTGGACAAGGTGAGTTTTTTCACATCCTAATCCCTAAAATGAGTTCTCGCGGTTCTTTTGCTGTTGTTCAACTTCACAAAAACTTTCTGCTAAGTTAGGAAATTTCTAGCAATATGGCTGTGCTTTTCTCAATCTTGCTGCAAGTATATGAGGTTAATTGCCTTCCTGAACGATTGTTTTGATTAAGTGGATGTGTGTGCTTGTCTCTTTCCTCTGCCAGCTTGTGGGTGAGCGAATCGAGCCTCTATGCGTTAATCCCACCTTCATCATGAACCATCCGGAAGTTATGAGCCCTCTGGCCAAGTGGCACCGCTCGCGACCAGGTCTCACTGAGCGCTTCGAACTGTTCTGCCTCACCAAGGAGCTTATCAACGCGTACACTGAGTTAAACGACCCCGTCGTCCAGCGTGAACGCTTCGAGGAGCAAGCTAAGGTAAGTGCTCGTGCCCTGCATCACTCAGGTGCCGCGTTTTCTTTCTCGCCTTCTTCCTCTTAAGTAGCACCGAACTATTCTTTATGACTGCAGGATAAGGCCGCGGGAGACGACGAGGCAATGTTTGTGGATGAAAACTTTGTGAACGCTCTCACCTACGGTCTAGCTCCTACCGCAGGCTGGGGTTTTGGTATTGACCGATTCATGATGTTCATGTCGAACACAAACAATATTCGAGAGGTCATCATCTTCCCCACCATGCGGCCGGAGGAGGGCAATGCTCCCTGTGAGGCATTGACTGACGCGAAAAAGCCGCTTGTCAACTAACAGGCATTTGAACGTTCATCGTGTTATTGTTATTTCGTCTTTGTACATTCGTGTTCAGAGGAATTTAACTTCTTGTTGTCTGTTTACTGGACTTGCCTCTTCTTGGGGTGGAGAGACATTGCATTAGGCTCTCGACAACTGTGTTTAAGTTATAATTACGTTATGTTACATTCAAATTGTAGTTATAATTACGTTTACCAATATTTTTCACGTGATTATTGACAAGTTACTTTTTCTCGTTACGGCACTCTTTACCAACCAAGTGAAAGTAAGATATTTTTAAATACAGGGTAATCAAATGTACTTGCGCGACTTTGTCACCAAAACGAGGTAATCGCAGAAACAGACCGACTGATCTTTCTCTCGTGAAGCGTTTTATCTCTCGGATTAAGGAAACCTTGCCTTCGTCACCTTTCCTCCCTTCTACTTAACTCTCGCTTCCCAACTGTCTATTCTATGTCGTATGTGATCACGCGGTTTCTTGTCTATTGCCAAGGTAGCAAGCATCAGTTGAAGAAACAGCAGGCGAACTCGGGGGATGCGGTTAGTTGCTGCTGTCCCGTACGAGGGTGCCAACCTGCCTGCGGGTAAGTTCTGTGACGAGACACGAGGTTTTGCGTTGTCTTATGCAAACAGGACACAACAAGCCTTCGTTCCATTGACGGAAGCCATCTAATTGTTTTACCATAAGAAAGGCCAGTTTTGAGGACTTGGACGCCCAACCTTGTTAAAAATACGAAGCAGAGATTTCAATCAACCCATGAAATTGAACAAAACACGATTGTGCCACTGTGATTTACGGTGGGTTCATAACATGGTCGACGCCAATTCTACCACGTCGTGATAGAATTGGCGTTGAGTGACTAATTCGACATTAAGGTCTCAGAGAGAGCAAAGTCACACCTTCGGTTTTATTGTTTTGACAACGGAAGTGAATCATCCTCAGACCAAGAATACCCTAAATCTAGTTTATTTTTTATGAGTTCAACTAATCTCTTTGACATAAAGTTTGTTTAAACCACTTACTACGACGCAGAGCAAATGTCGTTTATACGTGACGCTGGTATCAACCCCGACAATATCGCGGTTAAACTGGACAGTAAGAACGTGATTGTTGCAGCTGTGTTCCCGTCACGACCTCGTAATCCTACCGATTTTCGGTGTTAAAAATTAGTGAACCAGACGGCTGCTGGCACTAGCTTCCAAAACAACACTGTTCACGACAGTTATTTTTTCGGTGTTGGCCGCCACGTTTTAAATAAATAGCCAAATATCCTTGAATTACTTTAACCGGAAGCAAGCTTATAACAGAACAACAGTGATGCGAAAGTTTAACGCCCTGCACTTCCCACAATTGAAGTCATTACTTTACTCATTCTCATTTGAAACTTTCGCTCTGAAATTCCCGCCACAAGGGTGCTACAATCCCCGGCTGAAGGCAGCCCTTGAGAGGTCAGCTGCGATCGCATGCTTACCACTGCCATAGAACAACAGTTCTGGACAATCGACGAAATCGCGAATTCACTAACCAGAAATGTTCGGTGATTGGCTCATCACTCTGCGATTACCTCGGGACAAATTGCGCCGTAGTAGAAAATATCCAACGACCAATCCCTACAGTTTAGCAATTAACCCGACATGCCAGCCATAGTGTCGTAAACAGTGCTACGGGTGTTCGTCCAGCTTTTAGGGCAGAGACAGCAAAGGCCATTCCATGTCATAGAGGTCGGTATGCGAAGCGCAAATGCAATCACGACGGATCCAAACTTCCGAGATATGCGCACAACGTTACTTCCTTCACAATAGTAGTGCAGTTAAAAAATCAGAAGGGGCAACTTTCTTCGGAAAAAATGGGAGTTTCACAGGTCCCTCTCAAGTGCATGCATTATGCTAGGCATTAAGAAGATAGAGAACAAGATTATCTCTTTCACAATAGAAAACCTCCATACAGTGCCTCACATCACCCACGATAAACAAAGACCCATTCACAGATAAATTGACTGAATTTCATGATTTTGACGCAACCGAGGGCAGAGCAGAGAGAGAGAAAGGGACAGAGAGGCTGGGGACGAGAATGAAGACAAGTTGGTGTCTTGCGTTCTCTTCCTACAGACTCTTCATCAACGCACACGCCCAATCGCGCATAGTAGAGGTACCACAATTTACATAGGACTGCACCAACTCCTCCAACTGACTGTGAATCAAAGCCACGAATGCTGAAAGGAAAAGAGGGACATATAGTAAGAGCCTAGTAAACGAGTGGAATGGAGCAGCACATAGAAGAGCTTACATCGATGACGCAACATGCTTGCGATAGCTCCAAGGGCATGCTCCCGCAGGACCGATGACTTCGTATTTTCAGCGCAGCGCTTCAAACGATTCATGAGCTCCTTTAGGCCGAGCTTTTCAAGAGGGTTGCCACCACCTTCTGAGGCTTTTTTAACCAGTTCCTCACCTTGCTCTGTCCTTAGTCTACCATGGAGAAGAAAGCGAGGAGTGAAACAAATGAGGAAGGAGCTGCTTCAAAGCATATCGAATGGTGCCTTGTGCTATGCCACACTATCTCTGCTTTCTAGGCCTCTGACCCTGCTGGGCGTCAAGATAGCTATCTATTTAGTCATCCCCAATCCACTCCAGGCAGTAGGAATCAAAGGAGGAGAAATGGCAGCGGCTTACTTGGCAAACATTGCAAGTATACTTCCTAAGGCAGCAGATTGGATACGCCAACCACCCTGGCTCATGAGGAAGACCAAGTGATGCATCGTGTCAACGAACCGATCAACTGTAGAAGGGGGTTAAACATAAAAGAAACGATTTTGACTTTCTGTCACATGCCATTAGGATGGACAAAGAGAAATGCTTATCTCACCATGGGGTTGCTTGGTTTGCAGGGGCCACATGACACCTACAGTTTTAACGGCCAACTCCTGCTCGGCCTCAGACAACTCCTGCGAGATCTGGAATTGCGTCTGCTTGCCCTTCTTCGACGAGGCCTGTTGCTCGTTGGCATCAGGAATGCCGTTGGGCAATATAAGACGCAGTAGACGCGTCAGGCGATCGTCCTTCTCCTTCACCTCCATCAAGCCAGTGGCATCACGGCCACAGATCTCCGCGAAACTGGCCAGTGCCCAAAAGGCCTCCGCCTGGTACGAGGGACCCGCGTGCTCTGACCGACCAGTGCGCGTTTCCCGCACCAAGACTGACCACATCTGCGGTAAAGACAACCGAGGTGGAGACAGGATTGCTGTATAACAGGGTAATAGCTCGGTAGCAGGGCTAAGTGAACTCCATCAAAAAAAGGACAGTCCTGCATTTCGTAGATTGGGGATCGTATTCAGACATCAAAGAAAGAGTTGCTGAGTCAGCGAAGACGCAAAAGAGAAGGGCTACCGGAACCGTATCGGTTTGTGACAATCATTCATTAGTTAAAAACTGCACCAGATCAGAGCTTCATAAAGTAAATCCAAATCGTTGGATTTGGAAAACATGAAGTGCAACCACCACAGAAAATCGTGCAGTCTTCAAGATATGTAGTTGAAGCTATTTTTTGACTTGTATTTAACGAATATGGTCTCCAGGGCAAACCTCGTAACACAACGCCTGCATTCAAATGCTCACTGGCAAATTCCAACCCTTCAGTGCTTTATGAGGCTAACGCGAAAGACAAAAATGGGGGAGGAAGGGGGGAGTTACCCACTTCATTAATAAGTTCATTGTTGGGGTCGTCGAGGTTGAAGACGCGTTCAAGAGCAGTTTGAGTGAGCATCCTGACAGTGCGTAGGAGGTAGACCTACAAAAATAGATAACAGTATGTGTAGAGAAGGAAAGAAGAGTAAAATGATGAGGAGTGCGAAATCGGATACTTTGCCACTCCAAGACCCTGTCTCCTTCAGCGCCGCAGTCAGCACCCGAGCCAACTCGCACCAGATGAGGAAAACGGCCTCATTCTCCTCTTCATCTTGCTCATCCTCCTCATCGTCCTCATCCTCTTCCTCTTCTTCCTCATCCTCGTCCTCCTCATCTTCATCTTCCTCGTCATCGCCAACTTCTTCCTCTTCAGCCTCCTCCTCATCTTCCTCTTCATTATCATTTTCTTGTTGTACTTCACTCGCACTGCTCTGCTGAACGCCTAGCCCCGCTGTTTGGGTCTTTGAGATCTGGAGAGCAGAGGCAGAGGCGGATGCAGCATCAGCAGCAGCAACCACTGCATTACTCCGATCCTGGCCCATAGCATCACGCATCATGGAAGAGGCAACAGTGGTGAGGAGGAACATGGACTGGGAAACAATGGCCGCAGAGACGGAGAGCAAAGCAAGCGCGGCTTGATTGCGCACAAACCATGAGGGTGATCTGATGAGCGCCTCTGAGAGGGTGGATATGAATGTGGTGAGAAGGGGCGGTTTGAGGAGATCGGCAAGAGGACAGACACCGGTGGCGGAGTAGCCGCCAGGTGGACAGAGGTGTGACTGTTGGATACCAGCCGTAGTGGTGTCGACAGCGGAGGCAGTTGTAGCATTGGCATGACTCACGGGCAGGATCTCTCGCCACGTCTCCTTCCAGAGCGCACGACGCGCATTCACCTCCTCGTCATCGTCGTCGAGGAGCGCGGTGGCGGGCGAGAAAGGCATGTTGGTGAGGGAAGCACTCGGTGGTTCCACCCCCGAAGGACCATTGGGGAGGGAGGCCAGCTGTAGAACCTCGGCTTCTGACTGTGAGAAAAAAGATGCACGCGCCGAATTGACAACCCTCATTCTCATATTACCTTAGAGAAGTACCGTCTCCTAGCAGCTTTGTTCTTTTAACCTGCACTTTAACTTAAAATGTTCGATATACGATAATGGGTTTAAAATTATTCTCAAGAGATCCAACTGGAAAACTGAGATTCAGAGTTTTCTGGCCCAGCTCGCCGTGGCTACGTAGAAAACGCCTCATAGCATAGATTTTAACAATACCCAGCTTACATAAACCCGTTTTCCCCACCTCAATGAATTAAACAAGTTTTCTAGTCCTTTCCCTCGGCAGACAGTTTACACATTTAAAATAGGTTAGAAGCATTGTGGTGCGTTATATCATCTGGAATACGCTAGTTTTTCGCTTAGCGCTCGGCTTTGGTAAAGGGGTTACTTAGGGGCTCCGGCATTGTACATCCGCTGGGCAGCCCGGCCTCTGTGCCACGCAAGTGGCCCCCCTGACCTGTACGTCAACAAAGCATGCTCTGTCCGAGTGGTATATCATCTTTCGTCTTCGGAGAATTCTCGAAGCGCCACATTGGTGGCGGCTGTGTGATGAACCTTAGCGAGGCAAAAGAAATGCATATACTGCAGATGGAAAAATCTGCTACGACCTCAAACAAAAGGGTTGTAAACGATGTCAACCTTCGGCAACTACCCCAGTCTCGCAGTCTGCAGGAATGATATTAACGACTGTAGTAACACTAGCCATGAGCCTTCTAAAAAAATTCGTTACAAACTATCTACCATACTCGTATGAAGGTGTCAAATAGGTGAGCACGCGATACCTCCTCCACCTCTCTAGTGGGTGAATGGAACTCAGTCTAATCCCATCCTCATGAGCTTTTAGTTTCTACATCAAAAAAGGTGTTTTGGCTACTTGAACTGTACAAGGGGCAACGCAAAGTTTAAAAATATTTACTGATAAGGGGAGGACACCAAAAGCGTTTCACAATCCCTTTTAAAAGTTCAAAAATTGAAACTTCATGAATCGATTTTTTGCATTGCACTCGAATCAAGTGCAATGTCAGTGGTTGGAATATGACACCTAATTTGCGTTTACGCATCTTTTTAGTTCACCGCACTCCGAACAATGCAAAGCTTCCAACACCTTTGGATAACACAAAACGAAGTCGCTGGAAAGCAATGCGAGGTTTGCTTTTAAAGTTTCCCAGACCATGCTAGTCATTGTTGTAAGTAGTTGCGCTACCGTCATTCCAAGACTCTCAACCTGTGTACATCTTCAGGTGTGCCTTGAAATGGCGAAGCACAAGTTGTCCGCGCACTGGTTTGATACCAACCTGTTGTGAGCACTGTGTTCCAAAATGACGGCCGTAGTGGTGAGTCACTGGCGCAGATAAACTCGATCCACAAAGACCCTAACTCTCTTTCTAGAAGATTACAACACTCCTTCGACAGTTAGAAAGCATCGGAAAATTTGGTTGTAAGGGCATTTTAAAGTGGAACAAAGCAACACATATTAACGATTAGGATATTCCACTCGTAGCAATTAGTGCAATCTCTATCACCACTTTTCAATTTCACATGCACATACTGATGCGGTAATTTGATATACCCAGATGGAAACCAATTTTATTTACCCTCACTCAGGATTAAAAATAGTAACCTATTCAATGGTTACGCCTGTCCGACTGTCAAAGTAACGCTATTTTTACACAAGTCGAAGTAGTCTAATTATAAACGGTTTACAAAAGCCTACTATTTCAAAAGCTGCCATGGCACCACATATGAGGTGTTTTTTCTACCTAAGCCTGCAGTCACAAATATGCAAAAAGTGTTCTTAAACCGATTACGGTAACCAATTGCACGAAATTGCGTCACCAACAGATTGAATAGTTACGCTTTTTCGGTTCTTAGGTAGCCATTGGTGAACGATCTATCTCACGGATGCTTATACAAAGTTGCTGAAATACCCATCCCATAGTACGAAATGCATAACATACTCCTTAGAAAATATTACCCACCTCCTTTCAGCTCTTACTAATGGCGGCATTTTTATCACTCATACAATAACAATGACCTCATTTGCAACACAGAGGGCATATGACTTATCGATTAGAGCGAAAAAAATAAGCTGACACGACACGATGTGGGTAAAGGCGAAAACTGATCTGACCTGAGTGTTGATGAAGACCAGGGGTAGGGTGAGACCAGGGTGTGCGAAAAGGAGGTCGGGACAGCAGCGCGCAATGGCGTGCATGACACGAACACAGGCCCATTGACTGGAGCCGCTAGAGACGCCCTCAGCGTACTGGCCACTCGCACCCGTCTCCATAAACCAGGAGCGCACGCGAGTGAACACCTTCGCCACGCTGGTGTCCTTTTGTAAATGTGGGGAGATTAGAATAGGTGAGTGTGTTTTTGATTGGAGGGAGGCGTAAAATACTCACCTTTGCAAACCGCAGCAGGAGAGCCACAGCTTGGGCCATCTCCTCCTGCACCGTCTTCCGACCCAGATTATCTAGCTGCCGTCCCGCATTGGGTAAAGCGCCCAGTAGCGCAGCCAACAGCTTCCCTGTATGTTGGGAGAGTGGAGAAACAATGCGATTCTTTGAGTCATCGCCATCGTTCTCCTCCTTTTTGGCTGCACGTAAAGCAACGTTAGACGATTCGAGATAAGTGGATACATTGCAGATAGAGATAATAGCTTACATTGGGGTGAGGACTGAGTGATTAGCGTTGAGGAGGAAGAAAGTGCAAGGTGGGAGAGGAATATGCAGGTGGCTGTTGCTACGGCAGCAACTGAATTTGCTCCAGTACCACGGGATCCACCAGCAGCACTGCTTCCTCCACCTGTTCCGCCACCGGCACGGATCAACTCCACCAGTGGCATGACCAGTTGGGAGAGAGAGCTCTCGTCAATCAGTCGAACGCCCTGGGAGGCAAAAGAAAGCGTTAAAATGAACCCTTTTGGTACGTTGATAATGGGGCAAACTCCAGACTTAAAAGTCCCACCGCCTCTAAGGATAACTTGTGTGCTACATTATTGTCGATGGTTTGATGTTACAGTCAAAAGAAACAGAGGAGAAGATAGTATGAGCGTTATTGAAATCAAACCAACTTTAAACAATTACCCAAGTCCCAATTTATGCGTGGGCGTCAATGACGGAGTGAGACCGGTTTCAAACTAGTTGAAACTATCCATAAAGGAAGCAATCACGATATTTAACAGGAACGAGTGGCATCAGAAGAGGTAATACAACCTCACTTTGTATGAAACGGCGCTTGATCCTAGCAGACAGCTGGATATCACTGAAACGATACATCGTTTAAGCAAATTTCTTTCCAGTTTTAGCCAAATAATTACAAGAAAAACAACTGACATGAGATTCACACTGACACATTAACTATTCTCAAGTGAAAACAAGCAGATCACCACAAAACAGTTCATAAAAAAACTTGAAAGGTGGTTCCATCGATGACTGCCGTAATGCATTACTGTCTTTGGAACTGAGTGTTCTTCTTTTGATAAAAGTTATGAGCTGGATACTAAGCTTGAGGGTAAGAGAGGGAAGATGTCTGTTGTAGGTGGCTAAAAGTGCGGAGATCCATGAAAGAAGAGCCATCAAAATCATGCAAACTTTTAATAACTACTCCGATCTTAAGTCAGTAATTCAGCGAAACCAAATTTAAATAAATCAAAACTGTCCCCAAAGAACCAGTTACGAAACCCCCTATGAGTAGGGCACGGTGAAGCCACCTTTAGACTTGCATATCTCACAACGCCTTAAGGGGTGACTCGGCTACTAGACAACCAAGCAACATGGACTTTGGAGGCTCACCAATCGCAAGACCTCAGCCATTTGCAATTCCCTAGAGGCAGTATTGGAAGAGGAGGCTAAACTTGAGTTCCAGTGGGGATGCTGTGGAGGTAGAGAGGAGGGGAGTGTAGAGGGTCGCATAACACTGACGACCCGGTTGGGAGTGAGCGAGGCCATGGTCTGTAGACCGGCAATGGTGAGCTGAGGCAGAGCATTCTTCAGGGAGGCGGGACTGGCGACCCGCGCTGCGGCTAGAAGCAGGTCCAGTGCTAGCGAACGCGACTCTGTAATGGGAGGCTGTTGATGCTGCGGTTTGGCAGCGTCAGCTGAGGAAAAAGCTGCGGCTGTCGACAAAGCGCGACTAATGAGGATGGGTAGGAGGCGAGGAAGGAGACCAGTGGCCACATCTCGGCAGGAGGGATCGTCGAGGGCTCGGATCATCAACTAAAACGGAAAAGAAAATTAGTATTGCTGGTAGAGTAACACTTTTACAGTCTCTTTACTGGCAAGCTTAAATAAGTAGTTTCATTCGGTTCCCCGCAATTTCGAGTGGAGGGTGAAATCTGCCTATGAAATTTAGGTCATTGATTTCCTTGACCTTCAGCACTAAAAACTGTTGTCAAATTTGTACGTCCTATAACGCTAAAACGATGTAGAATATACAAATACAGTAAGGGTAGGTCGCATTTATAACTTCTATATAAACTTTTTGCCCACACAAGACCTTTACCTTCGGCACTAAGGTAGCACATACTTCACATCAAAAGCTAAAATCCATCAAAAAGCGCAAACTTCCATCTCCTTTAAACTAGTCCACCCTTCATCCGGTGTTTACACATACTAAAAAATACACCAGTCTTTTATGAGAAAATTATTTTAATACGTTAGCTATTAGGATTGCGGGAGAAATCAGCCACCACCGGCACTTAGATTTTGCCCTGCTTTAATATGGCCCAGCCCCATTAGCTGTCTAGCTAATTCAACTACAGCTCAAAAACTAAAAATATCATCTTCAGAACAAGAATATCTAACGTTTACTTCACTGTCTTGAGCCCGGCTAATATGTTCGCAGCAAGACTTGGTGTAGCTAGTTTTAATAAAATGATTAACTGATGAAGCAGAGCTTGCCTTTTGGATAGCAGACGCAGCCTTTTCAGCGGGAGAAGGTTGTGAAGCCTCACTAGCGGCCCCAACGCCACTGTCAACGCCGGCATCATCAGTCGTCTGCTCAGCATCGACCATGGCGAGGAGGCCCGAGAGGAGGGAAGGCAGGTGAGCCGCAAACTGCTTGTAGGCCGAGGGGTGCTCCGTCAGAGCCACAGTGGCCAGGCAGCATGCGTCACGGAGGTTGGGGTCCGGGGTGAAGTTTGTACCTAAGACCGAGCTGGACGACGGAGGTGAGGTTGGGGATTTGGACTTGGTGGTCGAGGTCAAACCCAGTTGAGCTTTGATCTCACAGAGGATGGCGTTGAAATTGGCCTCAACCTATGCGTGTGGAGCAAAGCGCTTAGTGGTGTTGGGAATTTGACGGGACGAAACTGTAATTAGCCGTGTATTTCTCAAAGAAGGTGTTGATGAAAAGCTTATGCTAGCTTACAAATAGCTGATAGCCTCAATAACGGCTGTGATTATCAAGCCCGATACGGTGAGAGAAAATAGGTAATATTAGCGCTGAAGCGCATGCGGGTTGAACTCAAGTCCACCTAAGCTACGATCTAGGGAATGACATCATTCCAGAAATAGCGGAAGTAAAGGGTTTTGCCCTCATAAGCATGGACTAATCAACCCAAAGACAGGCGGTCAGAGCTCAATTGGAAAACGTGACACTTTCAGATGGCAGCTGTTGTCGACATAGAGCTTGTTGCACTATTGAGTCGTAAAGTCCAATTACAAGAACCTTAAAACAAACGCAATCGCATCTTTAAATACCTTTAGCCAAACAAAAGTAGATAATTAAAACTTGATTTAACAAATCCGGCAGTGATATGAGTGAACGTGCAATAATTTGCTAAAGCACAGAAGTCCTTCAACCCTCAATGAAACCAAAACAAGTTCGAGTTGGACGTTGTTTAGGATTAGAATCGTTACAGCCGTAAGCCCAATTTAACCCATTCAAACATATGTAGCTGACCTAAACAATCATAATGACTTGTAGTTAGTCAAGCCGTCCGCTGTCAGTGTCGCAAATGTGTGACGCGCTACTTTCTTGTCCAAACCTAGCGTCGCACATACGAAATGTTCATCAACACTTTAAATGGTGATTATTCGCACCACATCATGTTGCAAACAGATTGGCCAAGTTTAAAATACTAGAATAGGCTTAGGATGTTCATGGTCCACGAACAATCGTACATTTAATTTTTGAGCAGTAGATGAATTAGTCAAAAAAATGATGACACAGTGTAAAATTAAAAAAAGTAAACACAGCTGTGTCAGTCCACTTTCCTGATAATGGATATGTTAATTAAAGGTAGAATGTTCTGTCTGTAGTTTGAATAGACTAAAAAAATAAACCGATCGCGAAATCTTACGATAAAACCATTCCTGAAATGGGTCACTCACCCAAACGCAAATAAGTGGACCTTAAAATAACAACCCAAAAGCAATGTTCCGAGATATGTAATCCAAAATTTTGAATAAAACTAGATTTTAAACCCCGGCGCAGCAAAATGCATTGCCACGACTAGAATTTTAACGAAAAGTGAATCACCAGTTCGGAGGCTAGTGCATTGACCGAGACATTGGCCAAATTACCACTTTCCCATGTGGTGGTAATCGTAGCAGGTGAGGCAGCAGGACCAGTAGCACTGCTGCCACCAGAGTCCGACTTGGAGGTGGCACTGGAGTTAGCCATTCCATTAGAGGCAGAGTTTGATGTAGCGTAGAGGATAAGACCCAGCCATATCTTCTGCATGGCGTTGCGCATACGCGGTCGTGCCATATCGTAGCGTCGGATGAAGACGCGCGGAACGAGGCGCGGAAGGGCGGGGGCGAGGGAGCGACCGAGGCGACGCACCAGGCCCGCGCACGCCACCGCACAAAGCGTCAACCACGGCGTGGTGACGGCCGCTGTCGCAGGGCAGTTAGCTGGGCCAACGGAGGCGCCATCGAGAGCATTAACTGGCTGAAAGAGGACCGAGGCGTTCATGCTCGGTGGTGGCGAGGTAGTTGCCAGTACAACCAAGGAAAGCGACATATCCTCTCGACCGATTTGGTGTGCCAGACTGCAGAGCTCGCGGAATACTGAGGTGTTAGGTCTAGAGGACGAAAAGAGTGATAATATCTTAGAAGGTTTGGATAAAAAACATACCGTTTGCCATCAGCGATCATTTTGTTTAAGCTATTGACAAGGGAAAGACGAGCCACCTCATCGTTTCGATCGTATATCAGACCGAGAATACTGGCCGCCACACATTGCAGAGCCTCTACAAAAAGGGTGGGAAGAGGCTGTTGTTTCAAAAGCTTATAGGAAAGGAGAACCAAAAGCAGACTTCACAACAAACCATCGTTTTCGGTGAGGAGATTGATGAAAAGCTCGGGTGGAAGAAGGTCGACAGGAGGGGGGGCGAATCGCCTTGCCATGGCCAAAGCCCAAAGAGAGACGGCAAGCATTGCGGGTGGCGGCTTCAGCTGGCCAGGCTTGTGAGTCAGAAGGGTAACAAAGCGCTCGGCCAACCAGCGACCAGCAGTAGAGTGAGCGGCGGCCTCAGAAGCACTCGGAGGCACTCGGAGTGGGTAGGTGCGCTCAAACCATAGCCCCTTGTACGGGGAGGCTGCACCCAAAAGCGCATCTGCCATTGCTGCACCCACCGCCAACTGCAGTGCCGGATCACGCACCTGGACAAGCAAGAAGCGAGGGGTATTAAATTTATCCAGAAAAAAACCATTATATATCGTTTGGCACTTCAGTCATGCGCCTAACGCCTCTGATAATGACTGTTAAGTCCATTTGAACCAATAATGAGATGGGTGAATAAATTTGTCTAAGTCTTGTACCTTGGTTTGCCAGGTGCAGTCTGATCACATCGTTCCAACTTATTTTGCAAACCATAAAACTCTATCCTACTCGAAAATAAAATTTGACTTAAAACCAGGGACTTTGAATTTCAAAGTCACCTCAATGAAAATTATCCGAATTCAGCCGATAATTAAAAGACCGCACAGCCAAACGGCCCCATAGCCTTGACAAGCAGTGAGAACAGCTCTCACCTCCTGCATTTTCGACATAGCCTCGATGATAAACATCAGATGCGGGTGGGTGGACACACGCTGCTCGTCCCCCTTCTCGACGTTGTCCGGCGGTTCGCCAGTGCAAAGGCAGGCGAGAGCGCGGAGGGTAGCGAACCACACGCGCTGATGCCCTGCCATTACAGGCAGCGGTTCCTCACTCGATCTGCTCGTTGCCGAGGTGTTTGCTGCGCCGGTGCCGGTAGTGGCACCAATGACGGGCGAAGGGGGGAGAGTGAGATAGTGCGCAACACGTGCCACTAAGCTGGCCTTGCTCTCGCCGCAGGGTGGCAGAGCACCGGAGGACTCGATGTTTGGGACAGTGGAGCCCGCGGGTAGGTTGGCGAGACAACCGGCCTGAGCAAGGACGGCCAGAGCTTCGAGAAGAGTGGTCACTGTAGACTGGGCTACGCCAGTGTTGTTGTAGCGAATACCGCCGGTGGCGTTCTTCCCTTCTCTCTCCTGGTGGTGACTGGATTTCTCTTTGCTCGCTCCCAGTGGTTTATCAACGAGGAGAGTTGGACGGATAAGATAGGCGTCTAAATACAAATTGTGTCCGTTTAGTGGGTGTAGTTGTTTGTCGTATGATCACGCATTCAAATCATTTCTAAAACAAGTCTAATTCGAGGAACACCAACTACAGATAGAAAAGTGCCCTACAATCAGAGTTGTTTTAAAAATAAGCAGAACGGATCATTACCACTATGTTTTGACCCATAACGGTTCATTCATACTGCCACCTTTACGGGTTGCATTGGAACGAGTTAAATATTGCATGGACTATAAAGATAGCCTACCAGCAATTTTTAGGAATTTTTCGATTGTCTCCGCAATGCCAGTTTGCATGTGTTGTTTGTTCTTCGTATCCTGCTTTTTTGACTTCTTCGATTTACCACCGCCACCGGTAGCGTTGACGACCGCTCCAATGTTGTTTGTGACGGCATTGGAGCCAATGAGTGGAGGAGCGCAGTGCCTATCATGGAGGTGCTTCAACAAATACGCCACTCCCATCATCATGCCCTGTATGTTATGTGAACTCTCTGTATCCACCACAACCGAACCCTTGGGGACCTTTTCAAGCATGCCTACGGCGATCTGCAGTGCTTCTGCCGGTTGCTCCGTCTCCATAGTAACCGCAGAGAATATAGAGGCGCAGGCGTGGCGACAGTTTGCACCACGTGAGGTACCTAATAGCAAGTTCTGCAGTTAAAAAAAAACGTAAGCCAACAAGCGTGCAGTTGTGTGCAAAAGGCAGAAATGTTAATAGTGCTCCCACTTCCCTCAGGCTTACATTTATCTGATCCAGTATGTTTTTCCCACCGACAGCCAACTCTCGTGTGTTATTTATCAAAACCTCCTCCATGAAATTGGGAAATTCGGGAGCTGCAAATGAAGGGGAAAAATCCTCTGTAAAGGTCATATATAAACTTAGGCATTCAGCATAAAATAGCGCTCTTGAAGCTCGAGTGTGACTACTTGAAATGTAATTCGGAGACACCTTGTTCGAATACCCACATAATCACGATTTGGTAGCTTTAATGCGCGCAAAACTTTTAGGATTAATAAAAAGATAACAAGAATGATCATAGACAAAAAGGAAAAAGCAGAATACATAGCATGGGCCAAGTTCTCCAACTTAAACATTTTTACCAAACACGTATTTCCCACTGAGAAATGAAAACGATGACAAGGCATGAGGGATAAAGAACTTTGAAGGACTTTAGGGTGAACAATAGAGATGTTTTACCAACAAATCATAAGGGTGGAAATATGCATCGTAGATTATAATCATTTCAACTGAGTCACTGAGCGTCTGACTTCTTAACTATTCGCACAAAACGTCGTTGAAACACGCCCAAAACCAGCTATAACGTGAACGAAGTATGGAGGCGCTTCATAGAGAACAGCAAAGTGATTTACAAAGAAAACCCAGAATGACGTGAATTAACTAACTACTTAGCAGTAGTTCAATATAAAAAAAAGCGAAAAGCAAAATTCTTTGTAACCAAAATAAGCCTAAAGAACTAAATCAAAAGCCACTGGCTTCCAGAAATCAGAAAAAAGAAACACGAAAGCCAGTGTTACAAGACCGAACATAGATTTACAATCCCAAGGCGACTGGCAACGCGCGAAGATGACCACATGAATGAGGCGGAAGTAGGTAGCGATGCTGCGGCGCGCCTGCTCGGGATTGGGCTGTAGCAGCCCGCTATGCGTGGCGGTTGCAGACGCATCACTATTGATGCACCCCTCCGCCGCTTTGGCAGACGGTCCCGCCGACGTGGACGATGGTGCAGTCAGCGAGAGGAGGTAGCGCACGTTCTGGTTGATGCGATAGCGAATCTCGTCATCAGTCTCGTAGATCATCTCCTTCTCCTGCGCTGAAGTTAGACCGCCTTTCACGGCCAGGAGGCAAAGTCGGATGAATTGAACCACCTACAGAGGAGGGAGACCATCGTATCAGCTAATTTCTAAGCATTTTCAATCAAATGCGCTAGCCCAAGTGCTCAAAGTTGTAACCATACTTCTTTGCTGCTCTGTGCGGAGCGTTTTATGACCTGTTCGTGTGCTTTAACAGCCGTTTTTAACTTCAAGCCGACAGGGCGGCACTGTGGGTACCTCAAGTTTACGCAGTTGCTATACACTTCCATTTGGGGTGCTTTAAAAAAAAACCGCTGCCAAATGAATAGCGTTGACAATGACAACGTGGGCGCGGTTTTATACATTTGAGTTGGAAGTAGTCGAATCCTTAACAAAAGCAGTCAAACTAATACACGAGATGAGACACCAATCCTGCGGTCAGGGGAATAGCAAAGGAAAATGCAGGGAAAAAGAACCATTGCCATTCTAAGCGCGTGAATGAGGAGGACACTGTTTGTACGAAGTTATTAAGGTCAAATGACCGAAAATAGGCGTTAGCTGATTCAAAGGTTTGGTGTTTATTAAAAAAAGTGCCTCTAACAGATAGGTGAGAGCTGAAACTACGTGGTATTATTGCCCAAAGGCATATTTACGGAGTATAAAGATTACTTTGACATACGAAGACGTGTTTAGAAAACTTACTGGAATGAGGCGTTCCACATCGATGAAAGGATTCTTCCGGATATGCTGTGTATCCTGCACAAGAGAAAGTAGCTACTTAGGAAAAGCAGGGAAATAGGTGCTCATGAACGGTCAAATCTTACATGATTTACGAATTCCACAAAAGATGGCAGTTTGACACGTCCGTACACGATGTCGTTTGCTATGTTGGGATCGAGGAAAATGGAGAATACCATGCGAGCCTCATTTCGCACCCTTTGGTCTCTGAAGAGCAACGAGAGTATGTACACGCGTAACGGTATACCACAAATTTGTACCAATGAGGCGCTCCAATATGAGTAGGAATAACGTTTTCTCTATAAAACGATGATAGGAAAACACTCAAACCGTGCAGGAGTACAACCAGGTTTTACTTGATGCTTGTAAACTGCCTCGAGATGTACTACTACTGCTTAAAGGACTTAAACTTTTCCCGGACCAAGACTACCAGCACCAAACTCTGTAACACATGAAATTGCACAAGATTTCGGTAGCCAGATCAATCTAATCTACCCGTTCTAAACAGGTGGAAACAAGCCGTAAAATGTGATAAACAATTCGTTATGGTACAATAGTTGTGATCTTGACGAGAGTATATCGTTCTCAGCGTCGCTAAGGGAAATCTACTCTTGGTCAAAACCGAAGGACTGCGTTGACTTGAATGGGATCAGTCACAGAAAGGGCTGTGAAATACACGTGGAATGTGGCGCAAAATATATGGGACGCATGCTACTGTGAAAAAACAGTACTGAGTGTATTTTAAATTGAAATGTGGAGGCATCGTTAGAGGTGCCTCAAAAACATGACCTCAGATTGGGTTATAGATTCATCACATCAATTGTTCGAGAGCAGATTTAACACAACAAAGTAGTTGAGGGTGGGGCTAGAAAAAAACGACAAATGATCGAAAGACCACTATGGAAAATTTTCTGGTGCGGCAAGTGCTTGGATGAATCTAGGTTTCCTTCCACCTATACGCAATGACGAGTCAATTCTTCGACATACTACTACCAAGTTCTATGGGGAATTTTAGTGGTTCAATTGGTTACTTCTTAACCTTGAACTATACTCCAAGCTCACAGTAAGTTGAGAATAGCAAGATTGAACCTACTTATCACCAAGCGCCTGAAGAATGAGGTAACGAGTCGGAATGTGATCCGGGGGATAGATGATGCCCGCGAAGTGAACGGCTACCAAACGACTAACAGGGTCCGACTTGAAGAAAAGAGGGTAAATGGGAGTGGATAAAAAAGTGCATCCCTGCATTGCTATGACAGTTATATCTTGTCAATGACAAGGCGTTACCCTCTCCATGTTCTCGAAGAGAAGGCGCTCAAGTTTGGCAAGTTGATTTCTTAGAGCTGGGTAATTTTGTCTTTGCGCCTCCTGGAAAGTAAAGGCAAGGCGTCGGAGACAGTGAGCAGCTGCAGTTTTTAGGTCTGGAGCAATGTCCTAATTAAAAGAAGGAAAAAGTAAGCATGAAATAATGGTTCCCCCCAAAAGGGAGAAGAAAAATTAACTGAAAATGACCACCATAAAATCCAAATAAGTAAAATTGTGGATGGCACAAAAGCCTTAGAAATGTGGAGGCAACTGAAATGTTCGATTCAACAATTCGTCCACTTCCCTTAAGCAAAAGGAGACACTACTGTAGAGAAGTACAAATTAATCAGTCGCATAGAGTTAAATGCGAGTGACTCACGAATTTTAGTGAAACAGTGAAAATAGGAAGGTTTTAAGATGACATTGCGGTTTGGGATGAGCTATTGGCAGCATGCAAAGAACAAAGCAATTTACAGAGCGCCCGACCAAGGAATGCACCTCTTATGAGACCTGTGATATTCTACATAATAAAGTAGCTTCAGAAGGGCATTGACACCACGATAAGAGCAAATAAAACAGTGTAAAGCCTGCCTCTGAGAGAACGTCAAAAAGTCGAGGGAGTTGTGATGGATCCTTGAGGAGATAGTTGGGCTCGCGAGACAAAAAGCGGGATAGTAGTTCGAAGCCTCGCGCCCTCGCAGGAACAAGCTAAAGCAAAAGCAACGTGGTGACTGAATTATGAAAAGAAATAGGACAAAGATTGTATAGCTAAAAGCACGAGGTCAGATAAAACAAACTGCACCTAGTTTACGAAACGGCAGTAATAAAAACCACCGATTAGTAGCAGAATGAAAAAAAATGAATCTTGACTAACTTCGTCAGAGGTGCCCTCGTAAACAAATTCAATGAGGCTCCCCAGAGCACGAACAGACGCATCCGGTGGAATAGAGGTTGCACTGAAACCAAACGTCCACGTCAAGATAACACAAATATTGGAGACGAATTAAACACTTGTAAAAGAAATGCCTAAAAAGTGGAAGGGTCGGTGACTAACTTATCAAGCAAATGCGCCAGCAAGTCAAGACCGTGATTGGCAAGTCGGCGCTGAACGCTCTGTCCCGTGCGATGAGTGCACTGAGCTGCAGGAACAGATGCGGATGTGGAGCCCACCGAGGATTGCTGCTGCTGTTGTTGTTGGGGCTGCTCCGCCTTCATCCCGTGCGTTGGGCAAAGAAGTTGTGACGACTGCTGTTGCTGTTGTTGTTGTTGCTGCTGCTGTGAAGGAGCGGCCGATAGAGGCTTTATCGGTTCCTTGCAACTTGTCACGCCTTTCAAACTGAGCACCGCGGCTTCTATTAAGTCCGGCGCGAGGATACCCGTTAGCGTAATTCGGGACCGAAGTAAAAAGTGTCCAAGTTTAATTCGAACACCTGCGCTCAAGGGCTGACGAGGATCAGAGAGACCCTGGAGGCAAAAAAATCAGGTAGAAGAGTGAATTAGAAAACTGACAGGTTCACTATCAGACCTACCTTTGGGTCGAACTCGCGACGTCGCCCAAGGTACCAGTCGAAAATCCGAGAGAGGAGAGCCTCGTTTTCCCAATCTACAAGGCTGAAATTCAACAAGTAGATCACAACTAAGATTCCTCTGTTCGTGTGGGTGATTTTCTTCTAATATAAGGAAATGAATGACACTTACACGCTCAGCATCCTAACTTCCTTGTTTGCGGCAGAAACAACTGAGTGTCGTGAATCTGCGTCAGCAAAGAGAAGAGGAACAATACTTTCATCCGTTGGAAAAAAACCGCGACTGTAAAACTGCACAATAGCGACCTTGTACTTAAAGAACGAAAAGAAATATTGTATAATGACAAAATTAAAATCAAGTATTAAAGAGATTAGGAAGCGAATGAACGAACCTTTTCGAGATCCGAAGCACTGTGAATGGCGGAGAAGCGCTCATGAGCGACTCGACTGTAGTCATAAGCATTAAATCCTTCTGGAATAGCGACTGCAGGGGTGTCGAAGCGGATGTGACGCTCGAAACTAGAAAAGAGACTAATGAGGAGTCGAAATCCATTACGTCAGCAGGAAGACAATGAAGTGACTTACGTATAAGGTAATAGTAAAACCAATGAATAAAATTCATTAATGAATCGTCGTTGCATAGGCAGTTCGTGGAGTTCCAATTCTAACCTATTACGCGCGTCAGCAGGAACACCCCCGATAATGGGAAGCGTCAAGTGCAGGAGACTAATAAACATAATGTGCAGGTAAGTGCTATAAAATCCTACACATCTCGTTGGACTATAGGCTTGTTATCCGTCAACGATGCAAATAAAACCGGAAGAAGGCAAATCTGTTCAGTAACTGGCATACGAGGATAACCCAAACGGATGTACATGTGAGAGAAATTGGTGAGATAGGTTGAATTTTCTGGATCATTGTAGGCGACGAATAGTTCGTGTACGGGAAGTTGTATACTGGGACGCCGTTTTAGGCGGCGGGTGACATCACCCAAAAGTTCCAAGAGCTGAAAAACTAAATGTACGAAAATAACCTGTACCTTCCTCCGATGGTCATCATACTTAGCCAAATATCGTAAGATGAACACCAACGACTTCTGTATTACTTTTTCAAATTGTTCGTCTATATCCGCAAGGCTAATCCTCAATGCAAGACGCTCAATATCGGTACCTACAGTACATTAAAAATGGTGGGTGCCCATACCGGCACGTGCACATTCCATACTTCCAACGTAGCCACTTGATTGTAAGCCATATGACTCATCGACCGAACCCATTCTAAAAACCTTAGGTTAGTATATAAGGGGATAATCTACACTAGCTTGCGTAAGCATGTAAGCAAAGGTCAATCGGCACAAAAGCCTACCCCCGCTGTCCAATTTTCATTGGCTAGCTAAGCATGCTTTTCCATCGACCTTTTTGTTCTCATACATTTACTGGAACAAAAAATTTTCTTTGCTGTGCCATATTTTTTGCCATTAGTTCGTTCGCAATTGATTGTCGTTTTAATAAACCTTATCCTCTTCGTTGTAGTTGAATCTCTCCGAGAAGCCAATCAGGAGTCGAGGTACATCCTCTACTCACCCCATTTGTTGGTTCGTTATCATGATTCAATCATGCCTATACATTTCAGGAAATGGATAGTCTCAAAACTTTGAACAAAAGTGCGAGCGATTCGGTCGAACTGACCAAATTGGTGTCAAAACGCTGGAACGTTGATTTCAATTCTCGCAGTCGTATTGGACTGACTTCTAATGGACCGTGTGATCAGTCACTTCAGCCTATAGGTTTCAGCGACCGTACATTCCCTCACTCTGAGACTCGTGAACAGGATCCGCAGCTGAAGATTAAGCGAAGCTGGGATGTTGCTTTGGGTCCTCTTCGCCAAATCCCCATGAACCTCTTTATCATGTGGATGACAGGAAACTCAATTTCAATTTTCCCGATAATTATGGTTTATATGATGTTCACGCGGCCCCTGCAAGTGCTCTTCTCAATGCAAACAAGTATTCAGAGTGTTTTGTTGCTTTAAAGTTTTCGAGCATTCATAGTGGAAATATAAGTTGTGAGATTTCAATCTGCTCAATATCAACATATTATTTGGTGATCCAGATTACTTCTAGGTCTTTCTTTGTCATATTTTTGGTTTTACCATGGTTAAGTTGTCTGAGCTTCTCCACTTTCTACGTAGCAAACCCTAAAACAGTTTTCCTTGCCCTATTCTAGCGCTCCAAATGATCGAAGGCGAACAGGCCCCAATCCAGTGTCTGGTTTTTATTTTGGGGAATCTCTTAATGGTTGCAATGGCCATATATAAATGCCACAATATGGGTCTTCTCCCAACATATGCTTCTGACTGGTTGTCATTCATTCAGCCATCTCAGGCAAGCAGTTTCTCCACTTTTTGTGATGCTATTTCCACCTACTTAAATCCCAGTTTACTGTTACCACTTTGCCTATTGGAGTCCTTTTTTTTCATTTTAGCGAGCAGAATGGTCAGTGGGAGGCTTTATTTGGTGATAATTTTAATGTTACATTGTTCGCGACCTGCACCACTAACAATAAATCCTGGTCGTTATCTTTCGTGTGACGGTGATTCTTTCAAGCCTTCGTAAAGGAGCGTTTTGAGAGCATTATGGTAACCACTATGGGTACCTAACCTCAAACACGGCACTCGCATCTTAATAGGACTGTAGTCACCAGCTTTTTATCACGAAACCTAAGGCTATGCACAAACTGTTTATAGGTTGAAAATTTCTCATTTGTCAAGGGATCCTTTTGTGACAGAGTCTCACCCACGGCCAAAGTTAGGCATGGAATTGGTACCTGTTTTGTTATCACGTTCCTCTTAGTAGAGGGTGAAATGGCTGAATTGGTCGTACAAAGCGTGGGGGTCTGCTCTCACAAGCATTGCCAGCGACTCGGCGAAATTCCAGTGCGGGCGTAAGGTCAGGATCATTGGACGTTTGCGGAGCCTCCCAGTTGCAGAAAGCGACTGCCTCTGCGGTCAGATAAGTGCTGGAAACGAGTAGGACAAGCGTGAAATAGGTCTGCATCAATTTACTGCCCTGCGTTAGTCACATTTTGTCCCCCAGCAATACGAGCCTCATTTTGATAGGGGAAAAAAATCCCAATCGCCTATCGAGCTTAGCAGATCCGTTTACCGCTATGCAATGGCTATTTTATGCTCTGGTTAGACTGGATCTGATTAAGGAGTACACTCAAAGTGTGACTCGAATAATAATAATAACGATAGAAAAGGTGGGCGTGCATCCCCAACAAACCCTCCCTCGGAAAAGAAGTAGTAACTCGTCTCCGATGGACAAAAGGTGGTAATCAGCTCGCTGGGAGATTTCTCCACGGTGGATATTATTAGGCGCTGGTTTGATGCAGGAGTAGTTCAGACCAGGTGAATATGATCGCCTTCTGGGCCAACATGATTCTCACTTTGCTACCAGGTCCAGCAAATGATGTCGATCGGCAAGGCAAATTTATTCGTACTCATTCCTCACCGAGATTTTTTGCTCCCATTTCCTTGTTCCGACCTTGCGGCTGTATTTGCCGCCTTCCATCCCATCTGTACCCTAGGAAATGAATAACCTTCCGTGATGACATGGATTGCTAAGATCCGAAGATCTCAAGACACCACAACGTCACACGGAATGCTAGACCAATTATTTCATCCAAAGACATTTAGGAATACGTTGCGTGACAAATATTCTCTAAGGCGGTATGGGGAGCGACTCGTTATTGCCATATGGAATGGCTGGAAGGCTGTAAAAACAGTCGGAGGGTCAGTTCGGAGAGCATAAGTGTAACCTGCGGACTCTGAAGTTTTCGATTAGTTCAACAAAAAACCCAGTCGTTACACGTCCCCTTCCTCTTTTGTACGTCACACCAACCCTTTCTGACTCAGCCATCGCGAGGTAAAGGTTGCCTCAAAGCCTCAAAGGCAGGTATTAATTTCTCAAGTAGGCGCGGAAACGCTTGATTACCAAATTCAATGTCGCATTTCGGCGGTCCCATTTTATCACCAGTTTTGTCCTACTTGTGACCTGTGGTGCGGGAAGGGGGGTACGCTGGCTTCACACTGCCCAAGTCTGGACGTTGCTCCACAAATGCGCCTCACATGCTAATCACCATTCGTAGGAGCACTTGCCCAGAAGTAGAGCCAGTAAATTTAAGACAAAGTCTATGATAGCATCAAGGAGATTGGATTCTGGCAAGCATCAGTCTCCCTTTGCCTTTTCATCCTCATTTCAGTGCTGCCATTCCATTTATCAGAGTTTGGGAAAGTGGAGGTGGTATCCGTTATTCACACAGTATACGTACTTCGAAATAAGTACCGTAGATGGTTTGATAATGTATTTTTCAGATCATTCAGTCTCAACATCACCACCTTTCCTAAAAGCTCATTTGTGAAAAACAAAACCAGGAATAATCCCTAAAGATAGGTCTCCCTTTATCCTTTCCTTTAAGAGCGTGTACAGATTCAATTGTCCCTAGCAGAAGCATCAGTTTAGGACATTTAGAGTGGGCAATCACAAAAATCGGCACATTTGTCCTGTGAGAGTGGGAAGAAATAATAGACGCGAAATCCCACATCCGCGAAACTATCTTACAATATGTTCTTTGTTACATGACTTTGGTTTTAGGCAAGTGCCCTTACGGCTAGCTATGGACACGCGTTATGGACACCACAGTCCCCTCCCCTGAACCCAGCTCCCATACAGGAGGAAACTCCAGAACCATCAGAACTGCCATGAGGGTTTAGTGACGCTTATGTCAAGTATTTTTGCATTTGCATGAAAATTCGATGACTAACATGGATGATTTGTAAGTGGTGATCGTAAACCACCGATTACTTCGTGAGGGCTGACGCGGAAGGTCGACCAAGAGGAGTGCCGAGACGATGTTCAAAAAGGCGAAGGACTATGTAGTACTTTGCAGGTTTCTCTGATTGTCGATGTTGGCAAAGGACCAATTTGGGCCTCCACCACTGTACCTTCGCAGGGTAAGCTGGGCTCCGAACCATGACGGTAGTCCCAAACCCTGCTGTTTGCCGACTATGTATATTCTGATCATGTATTACGTCTCTTTTCGTCTTTAGTCTCCGTGGTTGTATGCTGATTATAATGTAAGACTAGTTGCCCGGTATGTAAGCACAGTGCTCCAAATAATACTGTCAATTTAAAAGTTAGGCGTTTTGCAACCGGAACCAAGAGTGGCACAAGTAGCTACAGTTCCATTTCACAAAAGTGAGTAATAGGACGTTAAGGCATTATGAAGCCACAAACATTTTGTAAGCATTAAACTAATCAAGATTTGCAGTTCAAAACATTTCAGGATATAATTATAACATACCCATCAATGTCGTATGTGTACAGAAAGTCTATTTACACTTTTCTGAGTAGTATTACTAAAGACATGCTTTTATGATTTTTGCAAATAAATTTTTTTGTCATTGACAAATTTTCGGTTTTCGTTTCTAAGAAGGATACAAAAACTTTTCTGAGTAACATGATCTTTGTAAATGTAACCACCATCTGAACTAAATTTCCGCACACGACCCTAGTTTAGCCTAACCAATAGGATCATCGCAAGTCCTTGCTTCTGTAGCCTATATTGGCACCCTGTACAAGCCCGTACTTCCACCATCATGGACTTTAACGAAGAGTTTCAGGAAACAGTCGCCAATTCGGTCTTTCCTACCTTTGATCTCCTTGAGGATGCTATTAAAAGGTTTACAAAGGTAGCGTTTTGTTACCAGTTACTTCTTGATTAGATTACTGGGAACCAATTCGCCTTAAAGAAGAAAGTGCGTCATAGGACTGGTGCTCCAATGAGGGAAGCCCATAAATTCCGATATGCTTTTTTCAAATGTATTTGTTCGTTTTCCACTGAGTGCGAAGCGTTCTTCAATGTCGCTTCAAAGGGACAGACTTTGCGTATTACCCAGTTCTACATGGTGCATAATCATGCTGTCGTGTATAATCCTGCCTTCAAACAACACGGTGTCGATGGTATTGCTTGAATACGTCTTGTTTGACTTTTAGACGACGATGGCTACGACGTTAGGTGTGATCTTACCGGCCAATTTGAAGAGTTGTTCCCCGTTAAATCCTTCAACACTTTTGATGAGTTTCTCGGGAAGTTACATGAGTTCCAAGATGTAAGCAGTATTACTGTAATTATGGTTTCGTAGGCCACGGGGTGTATTTTTGTTAAAAGAAATGCTGACCGATATCCCCCAGAAGCCATCGATAAGCAGCATCTTGTATATAAGGCCGTCAAAATGGAATGTGTTCACTACGGCCATCGGCAAGATTCAAAGAAACAAACACACACCAATTTGAGGTTACTACTTATTAAATTGAGATATTTTGTAGGATAAGTTGCAAAATTGGATGTCGCTGCTGCATTCATGTATCCACATACAAAGGTCGTGTTACAATTGGAAAGTACTTTATGAAACACAACCACCCTGTTCCAATAGAAGAAGCCATTCAGTATCCTCAAACAACGCATTTATCTGCCAATGATGATTCACGTAGGCTTTTAAAGTACTGCTCATTGACTACTTCTAGATTATAACGTTGTCTACGATGTGACCACCCAATTTGTTGAAATATTTTCTTCTGGTCGGTTTCCCACCTATCAAGATTTCTTAGTTAGGCTGGAAGAGTTTCAACGGGTAATGATTCTGCTTGCTTTATCTAATTAGAGGCAATTGTAGGAAACAGGGTGCTTATACAGTAAACGCATGTCGAACATGTGGCCAGCGGAGGCGAAGGATAAAGAGCACCTGGTTTATAAATTCGTCATTTTCGATTGCGTTCATTTTGGCTACACGAGAGACAATAGTCGACGCAGATCAACACAAAGGAGAGCTGGGTTTTGGTTTGTCCCGCTGTACTTAAGCTAATCACGCCCTTATAGTTTCCGTGGTAAGGTCGGTTGCAAGTCAACCATGCGAATATCCACCATCAAGGGTTATGTGGAGATTGTAACTTACGAGATGCGGCACAACCACCCAGCCTCTCAAGAGGCTTCAGATGAATACCAGCCACAAACTTGGCTCCTCTCGGGTATTAATGTCGGCGACGATGATAAGGCTTTCAAACGAAGACGGAGATCGAAGAAGCAAGTTCTTGCCGATGCCGCAGTTGCGCAAGCGGCGGTCGCAACAATGCAGAAGACCGACATCATATCAGATCAGCTGGCAAGGTTGAGAGAGGTGGCGCTGGCGGCGCCTCAAGACAAACTGGAGGTCTTCTGTAGTCAGTTATCTGAATTTGAGACGCGCTGGCGACAACAGTTGATGGTAGCGTACCAAGAGCAGCAACAGCAGGACCCCTCACAGCCCCAGCCGGAGGAGCTTCCCGACCCCAATGCCTCACCTCCAATCATTCCTGTCAGTGCAGGCATCAAGCTGGAGACACTGTAGCTTCATTGCCCGTCCGGAGTACGGATTGTACATTTAGGGCTTATGTAAATTTATGCGTATTCCTGCGGACAATCCATGGAAAAACCAAATTATTCTGGCTTTATGACATCTATTTTTTGTACATAAGCTGTTACTCCTATGAAAACATAAACGACTCATTAAATGCAACTTATTTTTGATTTCACATCGTTTGGTGTCTGACACACTCTTGGGGTAGTGGGTGTCGTTAGCTACTTGTTGGGTATCGGATTGGTGGGATTTCAGTCGGATGATTGATGGTGAAAGCAATGCTGAGGAGGCACCGTTGTGTGCACTTATGCTGCCTCGAGGTGGCACCGTTCCCACGGTGATTGGGGGCGTCAGGTGCGTAGTTTGAGAGGTTACACTCACAGTGGCATAATAAGGAAGTGAGGTGACAGTGGCCTCATGTGAACGTAATTTCGCCTCATTTTCTGCAGACTACTGAGGAAAAAGGGTCTAAAAATGAATAACATTAAATTTCAGAGTGAGTGATTTATAAGTACCAAAAATTTGGCAAATCTGCAAAAAAAATTCAGCAACTTCTCGAAAACAGTGCAAATTTTGGCAAGACATCCACTAAATAATGTGGGGGAAAATGGTGGATTGCATAGAAATCATGTATATATTGAATGTGCAGCGTCCGAAGACTTCCCTGAAGACGAAAGAAGGCATAATACTCAAGTAGAATATTATTATAGACGGACAGGTGGACTTTGAGCTACTGACATGGCTCAGAGCTTAACCCATCCGGGAGAGATGCAGTGGCAGTGCCGCTAAGGGGCCCGTAACCAAAATCGAGATCTAAAGAAGCCGGTAAAGTATAACACAGCCCGTCGCTCTCCTATGTCAGCCTCCCGCGTCAGCCATCAAAACGCAATCAGTGTGGTAAGAAAAACACCCACGATGTGACCGTGCCCATCATCGAAATGGCATGCAATTGCAGGCATGCTTGACCATAGCGTCACTGAGCCCTCCCGGTAATTCAACTGAATATGGAGTTTCGTTCTATATGCGAGCTGGGTTCGAGGACGCGGGACTGTAGAGGCCATCGCGCGTGTCCACAGCTAGTCGTAGGAACATCGGCCCGAAAGCGAGCATTTGGCAAAGGGCGAAGTTTACCTTAGTTCCGCGGGGGTTGGGTCCCACGCCTAATCCTCCTTTCCACTTTGTTCTCAATTCACTGTTGCCCACCCATGTCTACCTGGGTTTTATCCAGCTGGTAGGAGAGTGGATAAGGTGTCGCATGTTCACGTATTTGATATCTTTATACAAGAATGGAAAACATCTCCGTAACGAACTTTTCCAGATGCTTCATTATTGTGGAACACTGGACTGAGGTAGTTGCCAATTCGTTTGTTAAAGGTAGCCACAGATTCTGCCATGGGGATCGTATGCCCTTCTTCCATCATGCTAGGGTTTATAACCCAAGCTGTATAAATCAGGGTAAATGCCCTCTAATGTGGGGTTCGCTTTCCGCTGCCACCAATGTAGTTCCCTAAGACTTTCCTAGGGACAAAAGAAGACATTATACTCGGATAGAATATGTGCATTCAAAGTAGAATAGGGCCTAGCACTAATGAAATGGCCCGGAGGCCAGACCACCCGGCGAAGGTACGAGAGCGGACCACCTAAGTGACCTGTTGCCAATACCGGGAGTTAAACAAACGATTAAATTATTATAGTGTGTATGCATGTCATTAACATGGTGGCATGACATTCCGTTCAAGTTAGCAGTTTGCTAGTTACTCTGTACGTTAACTGCGTGTCTTCCTCCGGCCTCGAGGTGTTGATTGTGCTTTCATTGATGACTCAAGGAGCTAAACCTAGCGACTCTGATCCAAACGAGCAAAAGTCATGACTTCAATAAGGACACCAAACGTAAAGTTCCCATTAGACAATTTCTGTGGATAGGCTCATATCACAAGGGTTATCGATGCAGCGTTCACCTTCGACAACCATCTCAATCTTGTGTACAGCAAAACATAAAGTAACAATTGGAGCGATATTAATATGAAGGATTTCAAACTTTCGAGAAGAAGATGCTTTTTGTATTAATGTAGAGATGCTTAAAAATGTGTGAATTAAATTATTCCTCGTCCACAGCCTTAGTTACAATACGTTGGTTGTTTGTTTAGCTCTTCGTTTTGACTAGGATCCACTTAGGTGCTCCGCCAATGCATTTCTGTCATGCGGCCTGGCCTCCAGCCCATACCGGCAGCCACGAGCCCTTCCATATGCCGGCAACACATATGCCGTCCGAGTGTTGCGATTCCTTTCCTCTTTAAAGAAGTAATTAGGCTCTACAGTAGCTGCTAAACGAAGCCCAGGGGGCTAAAGACATCGAGCTCTGAGGGGCTGCTTTAAATTGCACATTTTATTAGACGCCAATTATGAAGGATAAATAGTCGCAGTTAAAGCGATTTTACTATGAAATGCACTAGGGGTGGAACATAAACCCACTCAAAACGCTATAAAGTTAAGTAAGTGCAATGTGGTTTACAAAGAGCACAAGTTTGTTTATGAAACAAAATAGTTGAAATGCTTAACTGAAAGTGAGGCCAGATGTTTTGCCCTTGATGGGACCTAATCCTATGATCTTTGGTCCACTTTTACGCCAGTTCTTAGAAGCACAGAATACGTTGTGGTGGCCAAGAGGAGCCTTGGAGATGTCGACTAAGATTAGGGGAAGCAGGCAGCAATCTTTGGTGTACCCTTTCGTTGATACCATTAGTCCGCCATCTTTTTAGTACAACTAGTAGAATTTCCTATAAGTTGCTGAGTCCTAACAAGTCCTTATAGGTGGCTTAGAGTGCGTGTGTGGCATGAACTTTAATGCGTTTTTAAAGATATGTAAACTACCAGCCTACATCAATCCACAATAAACCAAAAGAGGCACAAACATGTTATCGGTAATTTCCAGTTTTAGGGGTTTGTTCATGCAGTTAGGATAAATATAAGGCGATTTTTAAGGCAGTCAAAATGGCATTATCTTCAAGCTTTTGATTTAGAATCAAACCAGCATTTGCCTTTTTTCACATTTCACACATTTTGTTCTGCAACTTAAATTTAGCCAAACTACAAATTTAATTTTGTCTAGCATTAATTCACCTCAAAAAGTCAATATATAAGTGAATTTACGTATTTATCTCTTGTTTAAACAATTATTGACCTTTAAGATTATAAATTAGCGCCTGAAGCCCCGCATTATTTGGTGTTGCGAATGTCCTCAGTAGATCAAAATGATAGGAGAATCACTTTTATTTCACAGTATCTCTATTCGTCTCTTAAACTGAAAGAGGAACAATGGACGCGATTCTGTGAATCTGAGAGTGGGAAAAATATTTTAGGCGAATTCATTGAATCCCAAATTCCACTAGCCTTGTTTTTCACGCTTAATCCCAATGGCAGCCTCTCTGCCACCAAGTCTTTTTCTGTCAAAGGAAGAACTAAAACATGTTTCTTTGTTAACACTCTATGCAACTCTGTCGAGAAGACCCCTCTCTCACATGTGGATATTTTATGTGGTGACATACAACCTAATTTCCTAAGAGGAGTATCTTCCTATCTTCAGAGAGTAATAAAATTTCACATATACATTTCATAGGTTCTGCTACCAGTATTTATAGGATATGCTAAGCGAACTAATGTGCTGGGGGCTCTTTCCGATGAGCTCATTTCTCTCACCAAAGTTCTCAAACGAAAAGCCAACTATATTGAGGGCAAAGTCGATGGAATTACATGTTTACCCCTGTTTAATGTCAAGGACTTTGAACAGTAGCTATATGACTTATTCTTAACGGTCATAGATCGTCGATTTTTAATATTGAAACCATAATTTTTGAGTGGTCTCAGATCATTCATGCTAGTGCACACCAGGAGCGAATGCCCACTGAGAGTTTGCAAATAACCTCATCACCAAGAACAGAAATTGAATTTTGGGCCAAAAGAAAAGAAGATTTGACTAGAATTTGTTCAGTCTTAACCTCGAAAGCCACAAAACAGATTATGAACTTGCTTCAACATTTTGGAAGCAGATATTCACTGACAGTAAATAATATAGTAAATACTATCAATGACGGTAAGAGTCTGAGAAAGCCTGCTTGTATACTTTATAGAAATCCATATTTATTAAAAAACCGCAATATTTTCCGCTTAGCTGTCTTCGAAGCCGAAGAAATGCATATGTATTTGAAACCATTGGAAAAAATTTTTCAACACATTGAGGAGCTCGAATTTGATAAGATATCCATGTACTTCGGACCTCTGTTTCATGTATTGGCTTTGAGTTGGTCAAAATCAAAGGTTTTTCGGAATCCACCACGTTTCATTTTACTTTTACAAAAAATATCCAGTGCCCTCATTGTTCAGGTACCTATCAATCATGTATAGATGTAATTCATTCCGGAAAAAAACAGACAAAGCAATATTTGGATTCCACGGAACTACTTAAAGGTGAACCCCAAGAATCGATTGAAAAGGTGGCTTTTGCTTTGAAAGTGCTAAAAACATTCGTGAAACAGTTCAAACTCTTCCGCACCCAGCTTCCAGCATATTTTGCAAAGGAGGGTATACCAGTTGTGCCCTGGGAATTCAAAACCCGGCTTCCTTTTTCATTGCTCGTAGAGGCAAACAGGCAGCTTCTCAAAATTAAGGTACACAAGTTAATGTACAGTCAGAATAAATATTTTAAAACTTTAAATTCTGCATAAATAGTTAGGATTACCACTCATAACAAATCACGAGTTCAAAGTTTCTCATTCCAGGCTATTTTGAGCGCAGCAATCGACTTTGCCGAGCTCGAAAGATGCATAATCGGCGGTGTAATGGGTGCCTACTTGAGTTCCCAAGTTTCCGCAATTTTCGATGAGTTTGCCGATAACTTCAAGGTGAATTGGATCATCATTGATAGTTCCACTTTCTGAAAAACTTACTTCGATTATCGCTACTTCTAGGAGTTTTCTCAGCGTGATTATGATTGTTTGGACTTGGAATCGAGTGAATTTAAGCAGGAATTAAACGACATTTCGGCCAAATTTGACGACTACGAACAGCGCTTGGGAAGTGTGTTTTGCCAAGCCTTGAATGATTGTCCGACGGTCCAGCACGCTTCGAAGGTACCACCTAATTCTAATAAATAAACTTTCGTACTTTATAAGCTGTTGAGTATGTTAGGTGGTCGCCTTGAGCGGCCCATAATCAAGCCAATGATCGAACCATTTTACGACAGCATGCTGCAGATGGTTGAAGAGGAGCTTTTGCATGTGAAGAGGATTGTTAAGGAAAGTATGGTTGACAAATCCATCGAATGCGATAGAGGTATGCTTCCACTGATATTTCTCTCGATTCTCTCAATCGAGGCGTCCCTCATTCTTGAAGATTAATTATCTAGTGCTGTTATTTATCAGGGTTACTTTTACGGTCTGGCGTAATGCTATGTAGGAGTGCAATGGTCTAAACCGAGTTTTTTTCTCAGGTTCTTTAAAACCCATGGCAAGCCCCCAACAATCGACTCGTTTGCCATCAAATGCATCAGAAAATGAAGGTAAATGAACAGTCCTGTGACTGGACTATTGTAGCGATGCTTGTCCACCAAACGAAAGCCATGACGCCAATCTTCAGATACGTCAAATTTGTTTAGTCGTAAAATAACTTTTCTTTTTCTCCTCCACAAGTATATTTTTCAATAAATGTGCCTATCTGCCTCGTTAACACCCCCAAAAGGCAGCAGTTTTAGCCTTGTAAACTGCATTAAAGGGCTGCTTTTGGTTTGGACCTGCCTGCTGTTAAAGTCATCTCCTACCTACCAAAAGTGTGTAACGTGTAGATGACAATGGCGTTTGGCTGTTTTCCCGTACTACTTCTAACATCCGTAGGCAAAAGTCACGAAGATCAAACTCACAGTAAACATGTTTAGGAGTTGACTAAGCAAGAACATGTACCGTTCGACGGCTCTGAATGCTCCCGGTACCTTTTCTTCAACTAACTTGACATCGAAGTTGGGTAAATCTTTTCCTTTCAAGGTGCGCCCCATTCTGTTGAGAGCAGCCGACGACCATCCGAAACGGCAAAAGGCTGTGGCGATGGGAGCAAAGGTATGTTCACGGAAAGGCACATTCACTCCTTTGGTTTTTTTCATATTCCCTGTGATTATGGCAATCATAAAGTAAATTATGCTTAGTTTTTAGTAATTCAGTATTCACTTTATTTATCCCTCTGGCTACGATTTGATCAAAATGGAACCAACTGCTATACCTCAACGGTTCAAACTGTAGTTCGTGTCATTTCGGGGTTATGATAAGTCATGTTTTTGCCGGCATTTCACCACTTTCAGATAAGATGTAGCCTATTAAGAGCGTTGGAAGGCCAAGGTGCTCCCTTTCCCACGTTACCTTTGAGATAGACAAGTCTAGGTCAAGGCCGTTACGCTTAATTGTTTTTGAATCCTGTGAGAGTGTTTCTTGTTACATCGTAGAATTTTAGGGAACAACAGATCCTCTGGACAAGTAAATAGGTGATATCTAGATAATAGTGTTCACGAGTTGTCAAATCAAATAATAAACAAGTCCTGTCCAATGGAAGTAGCATATGAAATCACCCTAAGCGATTCGTTGTAAGGGATTAATTAGATGTGTATATGTCACCCCATAACTTCCCTAAAGGTAAAAGAAGACGTGATACTTGGGCATAATATGTATTGTCGACATGCGGAAGCGGTTTGGGTTACTGGCATAGCGCAGAGGCCAGTCCACCCGGTGAAGGTACAATGGTGGGGCCTCCAAGTGGCCTCTTTACCAAAACCGAGTGTCAAACAAACAACTAACCTATCGCATTCCTCCTCTTCCCGTTTGATCGTCGCCCTCTTGGTCCCCTTGGTCAACCTCCCGCGTCAGTTATAGCAAAGTAATCGTCACTATAAGAAAAACGGTAACCTCGAACCAACTGCGCCATTTATCAAATACCCATACAACTGGGAAGATATATGATTACAACTGGATTTTAAGTTTCATTCCCTATGGAAAGTGTATTGGAGGAAAGGAAAATGTGCTGACCATCATGCATATCAATCAGTAGTCTTTAGGATACCGGTCTAAAGGCAGAGTCAAACAATAAAGGACGGGATTGAAGGTAGTTCCGTGGAATAGGGTTTCTCGCCTACTCCTCCCTTCCACGTTGTTCCCACTTCAGAGCTGCCCAGCCATACTATCTAGGTTCCGTGCAGCTTGTAAAGAAGTGGAGGAGGTTTCGCCCGTTCACTTGATCGACATCTTCGTGCAGCTACGGTAGACAACTCATTATGAGCTTTTCTAGGTGGTTCACGGCCACCTCTAGTATCGCTTCAGTTGCTAATGGCATTCCTGTGGAAAACGGGAGTGAGGTAGTTATCAAAGTTCGACGTCATTTTCAGTCCTTCTGTCGTGAACCGTCACCGATTCTTCCATCCGCAGCATGAAACCTTCTTTCGTTACGCTAAGATTTATCAACTAGCAGTTAAAATCGGAATGGTTATCTTTTAAGATCGGGCTTGCTCTTATCTGCCACCAATAAAACGCTCCAGGACTTCCATGAACGTAAACAAAGACATAATGCTGGGGCAGAACATATATTGTCGACGTAGGGCAGGGCTCGGGGCTGCTGGCATGGCCCAAAGGCCAGGCCGACTGTGAGAGGTGCACTGGCAAAGCCCTTAAGCGGCTTGTCACCAAAACTGAAAGCTAAAGTAATAAGTAATCTATCACAGCAGTGTCATCCGTGTCAAGTGAGGACATTATTTATTCGGTGAATCAATTCACTTGATGCTCACGTCTTCAGACTTCACCATCCTACCAATCCCCAGCCTTTAAAAAGTGCAATGTTCCCGGTTCATATAAACCGTTGAAACTTTCGTTGGTGCAACTGCCTACCTCGCATTATAAAGTATAAAGTGATACGGACAAATACACACTATATCTTGATTAAGCATACACACAAGGAGATAAGCATAAAATCTTTTTAAACGTATCTTTTCCATTAAGATACACCTAGATCAGCTACCAGTGCAAGAACACTCGACTCTTCGATGTGTGCCGAAGACATTAGATGTAAGCCCAAACATCATTTGTTACTTTAACTTCTGTATAACACGGTCTCTGCACTAAAGGTAAATAAAATCGGTTGACATGTCTTTTGGCCATGCAGAGAACCGTTTAGCTTTACTGAATAGAGGTTTTTAATAACAGGACTACTGCCATTACTAGAGATCCTTGGTCACACCATATCTTTTGAAACATGGGCTTTTACATCATTCTTTCACAACATCATCTTCTACACACGAACTATCCACACCCGAGATTAATGTATGCGAACTCCTCAATGCATTACTGCCTGTATTTTCACACCAGCCACTCGAAAGAGGAGCATATTAACTCCTGCACTGACCACGGGACTGGCAAAAATTATCAAACGACCGAAACGTTCGACCTCGCTCGGCGTGGCAAACACAGGTAGGCTTGGAGCTCGGACCTAACGTCATCGCTAACAGGTGGCTCACTCTTCAACACTTTTATTCGTCGTTCACCTTCCTTTATTGTACTCAGTCGTTATTTGATGCACCAACACAAACACCTCACTTTATAACAGTATTTAATCAAGAATATTGGCTTTCTATCAAGACACGCCTCGATCTGCAAAAAGTACTGGAGGAGCAGTTGAATCTGCGGTAATTGCGGATGCTAATAGAGGTACGTAGTGGTCGATAGTTGTCTGGATCACTTTTTCCTTTCCCTTCGAATTCTTCAGAGTATATCAGAGTTTGAATGGTTTGAAGAGTTTGCCGTCGTAAAATTTCAGCAGTTTTCGAGGTTATCTAGCTGTTTAATGACTTAAGTTACTTGTATTCTTATTTTTGTACCCTAAAAGTGGTGTATCAGTGGCCAACAGGTTGTTGCTTTCAGTATATTCAAATGCTTATTTCTCTAAATCTTCATAGTCTTCATGAAACACTTTACCTAGGTACTCCACAGCCATTGAAAGGTATTAGGCCATCGAGACGTTCACCTTTACCAGTGGCAGCAAATCCAGGTAAGCAGTATTTGTCCTCTTCGCGCTAGAATTACCAACGGGGTGTTGTAAGGCACAGGAGTTTCGAATTTATGTAGCTTCAAGGTCGACAAGGGATTCTTGAGGCACAAGTCAAGAGGTTACATACTACTATCAAGGAGGTTAAATCAAGGGGACAAAAATGGCTAGCCTTGTCAAGCATACAATTGAAAAATGTACTGACGTAGTTATAACCTTCTATGCGATATAATGAATATGAAAAATGGCGGTTTAAATAGTTTATTTCTCATCTACTTTGCAACGCACCTCGAGGCACACCTCCTAGTTGATCCTTCAGCCGGCTGATATGATGTTCAAGGGGGTGCATCGCACGCGACCTGCAGGTTCACGCCCACCGATGAGCATTCCAACGGGCCGCGTCACAGACCCATTTCCATAGTCATGTAACAGCGACTAATTAAAAGATTATGATAAATCCAATGACATGGTAACTTTGCCAATGAGATTTGTTGAGTAAGTTCAGTGAAGACGTATTACAGTGGACACTTGGGAAGTGGTGATTACATATTAGTTATAAAGTTTGCAGAAAAAAACTTGTTCATCTCGTTAAGATACTCCCAGAATAGCGAAGAATGCTACAACAGTGCCTGAATCACCAGTGAATGCTCGTAAAAGTTGTAAGTGCATGGCTGATCGGGTATTTAACCCCGTCCGGTTCTGTTACGCTATTACCCCACTTGTCCATCTTCATCCTCTCAGCCCAGACAAGTAATGCGGCTGTGATAAAGCGCCCCAACACTCCTCAGAGACGAGCAAACCCCGCATGCAGTCTGACAGCTCCACTGGGCTGTAAGAATATGCCTCCAGTGGCTGGGCGCTTGATGTGGTCCTCAGAAATCTACCGACGTCTGGACGCCTCTAAAGCTATTCTTAATGGGATAGAACATCCGTGAGCTCTCCCCTTCCTTCTCCCTCCCATTGATAATGAGGATGGTCACGTTTCAAGAGACCGCCGTAAAGTAGAGACAATTTATGCTGAAACCCTTGATAACGCTGCTTATCTACCTATTTGACTCTTTGCGACGGGCAAGTACTTAAAACTACCTCAAAACTCACCAGTTTTACTTTGGTGAGTTTGAGAACTAAAAATTACACGATTAAATCATTCTGAAGGGATAATGACTGATTTCAGAGAATAATGCATTTTCCAAATTTAACCTGTTTGGGGTGTATTTGCCAAAAAGAGACTTTGCTCTCAAATTTCCTCTAGCACAATGCGTTCCAAGCATGCCAACCGAATGCGAAAGATAATATCTCGTCTGCAGGACAAATTGGTTGAGTAAGTGCTCAGTGTGAACTGGCTGAAGAGCCTGCAAATGCATGAGGCTGTTTGTAAAATTGTCTAATTCTCTTTAGAAATGATGAACGCGTGTTCAAGTACTGGGCGAAGAACATTCCAGGCATCTGTGAAGGCGGACTCTCCCAACCTCTGCTTACCTGTGTTCAGGGCACCGGTTTATTCGAGGTCAACTTGAGTTCGGAGGTAAATCGTATTGTACGCACACTTCATGTCCTGAATGAGCGTGCGGATATTGCATACCTACCTTTAAAGCTGCCTAAGTAATGGGACAATCCAAATATGCTATTACTACGGTCATGATATACCTTTCAGCTGACCACAACGCTATGCGAAGTGAAGTATCTCCTTTCACTGGCCGGTACCAACATACCAGACGCGGCACTGAGGCTCTTTGAGCATCGTGAAATGCTGCGAAGGTACAAGCTCACTTTGGACGCCTTGGTAGCGAAACACACACATTTGCGTACGAGAATTGCCAACAATGTGATCGCCTTAGTTTCCACCGACTTAGTTGAAGTAGAACGTCTACTGCAAAAGAGCGCTACAAAGCTGCTCTGGTCCGACGCAGGTAGGTCAACACACCATCCCAATACATTGTCCACTCGTTTGGCTTAGACGAATTCAAGCAAATTTGATATTCCTCCTCAGGACATCGACTTATTTTCACACCATCAGGCCGGGTAGCTTTGCATACACCCGAGTTCGCTCTGAAGGCGTGGTGAGACCCAAGTGGCCTAAGAAAGCTGGAAACTAAATAAGCTTGTGTAGTCAAGTAAGCATTTAAAGAGACCGTTCCACTGGAGCGATGAACGGCTTCACTAGGGTGCGAACCACCGATCGCTCTCCACAAACTACTACCATAAATTCATCTTGCCTCCCGTTCATTCAATCTTTTTTGCCTTTCAAACTGTCAATTTCAGGGACATGGGAGCATATAAAATCCACACGTAACGCGGTGAATGACATTTACCAGCGGGTTAGAGAAGCGGAGGTGAATTTGGATACGATTTGCAAGCTTATGGAAACATGGACACATGCCCCGTTATTTGAAAGGCGCGACGGCAAGGCGGATAATCTGCTTGAGAGGAATGGCAACGCCGAAAAACGCAATGCGGAAATCAGGGAAGCGGGCGAAAAAATATCTGCTCTACTGGAGGTAATCAAACGGTAGACGCTGGTTTAGTACACAACTTTAGCTATGTCAACTTGTAAGCCTTGTCCCCGCTTATCTTCAGAGGGTCTTTAAGGGCCCACTGTTGCGCTTTTTAGACTAACCGTAAACTCTTCAGAACTGAGATTGGCTCAGCGGCGTGGAATGTCTACGTGGAAGACGTAGACGTCATCATCACCGAAGGTTTTGTGGAGACAATTCGCTGTTCTCTCGACTACCTCTTATCGGAAACTAACAAAGAGAGTTCGGAGATTCATCCTCTTTTTGAAATACGGATGGATCTAACGGTGAGTTTTAAGCTACTCCCATAGATTGCATAAGATATGGTTGACTGAATATGGAATTCACAGTCTATTTAGATTGCTTTTTTAAGATCTCCGGAATAAGTTTCGTGCCAGCTCTTGAGCAAGGACCTAACTCTACTTTCTTCGATGTATGCAATGCGATATTGGAGGATGTCTACAAGCAGGCAGATCAGATGAACCGAGTCGTCTCACAGGATGAGGAAGGTCCGACTTACGAGGTTCGTGAGTTTCTGTACAGCCTTAAAGCATCTTGCTTTCTGCCAACCCCCATAATGTCGAAATTTGTCTCATAACTTGATTGAAGTAGCCTCAAAATCGGATGGCTCGAAAATGTTGTTAAAACTGATAATGGACATTTTATCTGTTCTCGAAAGGCTCCGATCAGGAAGAATATGGAGTTGGAAGAGCTGAGACAGACTTTTATTGAGAGAGTGGAGATCGCAGTGCAGGGCGCGCGAGAATACAATGACAGCCTGGAACGATTTGCCTACCTCTGGACAGACAACAGAGAGGCAAGTTTAAAAGACTTTCTTAACGAAGAGAACAGCAAGTCCGATGACTCGCATTCAGCGCTTTCTCTGAAGCGGTTCAAGAATAAAATAGACGAATATGAGGCCATTTACGCAGAGGTAGGACATTAGATTTGGCGTTATCTTGCAGAGCCTCTCCTAAGAACTAAGGGTAATTGTGAAATAATTTCAGATCAACGAAATGAAGGAGATCGTCCTTGTAGAACCCTGGTTCAAAATCAACGCCAAGCCATTCAAACAGGGCTTGACCAACTGCGTGAAACGGTGGAGCCTCCTGTTCAAGAACTACTTGGTCAAATTTGTGACCAACAGTTTAAGCGACCTGGATGATTTCATCAAGGTAGGTCGCTTCATTCAAGAACGCTTTTGGGCTGAATTCTATACTGGCCTTTGAGATAGTTGATCCTTACATTCCCACAAGAGCTTTATTGGTTTAGTGCCTGCAGTTCCATGCTAAAAATAGCTCCCACTTAAAGGTGGCTATATTCCTGCTCTGGAGGCCCACAAGAGACGATGATATGCCAGTAAAAGAGACGTACTTGGGGCGGGTTATTCACAATAAGCAGGGCCCTGGACAGTTGGCCATCTAACCTCCCCCTTAAATATGAAGCTTTACCCACAGGACTGAAAGTACCTTAGACGCGTACCAAAGTCTGGGCGATTTGAGCTTACTGTGGTTACTTTTTCGCCTAATTAAATCAGGATTCGGCCCAGATGCTACAGAAAGATCCGGAACCCGGTGACTACGACCGTCTAGTGGAAGCGATGAGCTGCCTCGGTGCCGTAAAGGTCCGCCAACCTACCACCGACTCGATGTTTGAACCGCTGAAGCAAACTACTGATTTGCTAAAGTCCTACGGCCAGGAGGTGTCTCCAGAAATCCAACTTCTCCTCGAGGTACGCAAGTTTTTGCCATTCTTGTTTATTATTTCGAAAATAGCGAGCCATTCAGGTATCTAGTGGGGAATTTTCTTTATAAGAGAGTCTGGTTGTTTCGATTTCACCAAATATAATCATTGAAGTGGTAAATTAAACCGATCCCTTCCTTATAGCCGTGAGCCATACGGGTTACACTCATTTGAATAAATGTTTGTCTGATAAAAGGAATTTTTTATCACCGTTGGCGTGAAAGTGACTTTGATTCCTCCAGGAGCTGCCCAAGAAGTGGAGCAACTTGAAGAAGAGGGTTGTGTTGATGAAGCAGGTGGTGGCACCGTTGCAATCGGTGGAGGTAGCGAAGGTGCGGAAGTGGGCAACAGAATTCGAGGCGGTGCAGCACAAGTATCGCGAGGATTTCCTCAAAATTACGCCCTTCCAATATGAGTGCGAGGAGCCCTACACCGTGCTAGACAAGGTATGCCCACATAGGCGAGTGGCTGATATTCAATCACTACTTGATAGCTTGCTATCATATTTCTATTTGGTGGAAAGTAGAGTGGTTTCCCATTCCTTCCAAGCACTCATAAACACCGCCTCGGTGAAATGAAACTCAAGTTATCCATTCAAACACTTGTTAGTGATACGGTGTATGAATGTCATACCGATGCCTACGCATCCAAAGACTGACAAGTGATCTGTTGTCTTGTTAAATGACTAAGTGGTGGGAGATTTTGGATTCAGGGTACAGAAGGTTAACCAGATATCCCTTCCACATTCATAATTGAGCATATTGTGATTTGAAATACTCAATGTCAATAAGTTTGTTGTTGGTTTTGGCCACGCTTTGCATGTGACTAGCATTGTTACGAGCCCGTTTCCATACATGAATAATGAAGTCGCATTTACATTTCTGCCCATGGCAATGCAATTGTTGGGTGTCAATCACGGTGATCTTGGCAACGTTTGACAACACAGCGCAAATCGCCAAGTACCAAATCGTCCCTGCGACGAATAGCATAGGCAAACTTGGAGTACACATTTCATTTAGGAAGCCCTTGAAAATGTAGCGACTACCATAACGAGTTGAGAGGACACACACCTATGCATCAAGCGTATATTCCTACAGACATCTGCTAAAAATATCTTTATTTTCACAAATTAAAGGTAAATGACCTGCATTCGTTAATTTTACCATTCAGGAAAATGTAGCCATAAGCCAAATGGAGGAGGAACTCACGAGACTCAAAAGACAAGCTCAGCTGTTTGAAGTTGCTCTGCCAGAGTATCGTCAGCTAGCCAGCTGTCGACTTGACATTCGTCTCCTAAAAACTGTCTGGGATTGGGTGTTCTTCATTCACTCCACCATAGCCGGATGGTACGACACTCCATGGCGTCTCATCAGTGTAGATGAGATGGATCTCACGCTGAAGCAGTTCTCCGTAAAGGATCTCCGTCGTCTTGACAAGGAAGTTCGAGCCTGGCCTGTCTTTCTTGGTATTGAAGCTGAGGTTCACAATATGATGACTTCATTAAGAGCTGTGAATGAGCTGCAGAACTCGGCTATCCGGGGACGCCACTGGTCGCAACTGATGTCAACCACTGGAGTCCGTTTTGTCATGAACGAGAACACTGTCCTTGCGGAACTTCTAGCTCTGAAGCTGCACAACTACGAGGAGGAAGTACACACTCTTGTCGATAAGGCCATGAAAGAGGCCTCCATGGAGAAAGTGCTGAAGGAACTAGGCCAAACCTGGAGTCAGATGTCGTTTGAGATAGAGCAACATCCAAGAAGAAATTTGAAGTTGTTTAAAGTCAGTCAGGAGACAGTGGAAGTACTTGAGGAGAACCAAGTGCAGCTGCAAAATATGGTCACCTCAAAGCACGTTGATTTCTTCCGAGATCAAATCGCGGATTGGCAGAGGAAACTCACAACCACCGACTATGTTATCGGTCTTTGGTCAGAAGTCCAAAGAACGTGGGCATACCTGGAGGCAATTTTCCTCAGCTCAGAGGACATCCGCGAACAACTGCCAGAAGACTCTAAGAGATTTGATAAAATCGACGAGGAGTTCAGACAGATTGTTGGATATATCGGGCAAAGAGGGACAAACATCATTGAAGCCACGCATCTACCTGGTTTATCTGGTCGTCTCGAAAGTCTTAAGGAAAGTCTGAGTCTTTGCGAAAAGGCACTTGCAGATTACCTCGACACAAAGCGTCTGGCTTTCCCACGCTTCTACTTCATTTCACCTACTGATCTACTCGATATTTTAGCCAATGGAAATGAGCCTATTAAAGTCATACCTCACCTGTCAAAACTCTTTGACAGTATCGCCAGTGTTGATTTAAAAACGAATACCAAAACTGCAACATCGATGAAAGCGAAGGATGGGGAGGTAGTGCAGTTATCAAAGGAATGCTCTCTCGACGGTAAAGTTGAAGTATGGCTAAATCGAGTGCTAGAGGAGATGCGAGCCACCTTATTGCACAATCTCCATCATTGCGTGACCAACTTTGAGGAAAAACCCCGCGAACAGTGGATTTTTGATTATCCCGCCCAGGTCTCCCTGGCCGGCTGTCAGATAGGCTGGGTGGCAGAAGTGAATCTCAACTTTGCCCAATTGGAGGAGGGCTATGAGAACGCACTGAAATTCTTTAACAAAAAGCAGATCACCCAATTAAACGCGCTTATCACCCTGCTGGTAAGAGAGCTGAGTCCACAGGAGCGGCAGAAGGTAATGACCATCTGCACCATCGAGGTGCACAATCGCGACGTGGTAGCGCGACTGATCACGCAGAAGGTGATGGAACGCAACGCCTTTGAGTGGCTCAGCCAACTGCGACACCGATGGGATGAGGAGGTGAACGATTGCTTCGCTAGCATCTGTGACGCCCAGTTCCGCTACGCTTATGAATACCTCGGCAACACGCCACGGCTTGTCATCACTCCGCTTACTGATCGCTGCTACATCACTCTCACCCAGTCTCTCCATCTCTTCATGTCCGGTGCCCCGGCGGGACCTGCGGGAACTGGCAAGTTCTCTATTCTTTTTATCTTTGTTATGTTTGTCTTTGAATAATCCCTAGTATTGTAATTAGTAGCATCGATAACGAATCATCTGGCCGGAATCGGATCGTCTTTAACGAAATGACACTTTTAACGCGTTTACTAAGAAATCGAGTTGTGACGACTAGGTCGGCAGTTTGGGATGGAGGCGGACAGTTTTGAGCTAAAAGTGGCCGTAAAAGAGGATTTGCTTTGCTTGTACTGTTGACTAAGGTAGTTTTTCCCAACCTAGGCAAAACCGAGACCACAAAGGACCTGGGCCGTGCCCTCGGCATAATGGTCTACGTTTTTAATTGCTCTGAGCAAATGGACTACAAGTCTGTTGGAAATATCTACAAGGGCCTCGCTCAGTCCGGTTCATGGGGCTGCTTCGATGAGTTCAACCGTATCTCCATTGACGTGCTTTCAGTGGTGGCAGTGCAGGTGAAGTGCATCCAAGACGCTGTCAGGAACAAGTGCGTCCGCTTCAATTTCCTTGGCGAGGAGATCAGCCTCAATCCCACTGTGGGCATTTTTATTACTATGAACCCCGGCTACGCGGGTCGCACCGAGTTGCCAGAGAACCTGAAGGCCCTCTTCCGACCCTGCGCCATGGTGGTGCCCGACTTCGAGCTCATCTGTGAGATCATGCTGGTAGCGGAGGGTTTCATGGAAGCTCGTCTTTTGGCCCGAAAATTCATTACCCTATATGGACTGGCTAAGGAGCTGCTTTCCAAGCAGGATCATTACGATTGGGGCCTACGAGCTATCAAGTCGGTTCTGGTGGTTGCCGGCTCGCTCAAACGAGGCGATCCTACTCGCCCAGAAAAGGAAGTTCTAATGCGAGCTCTTCGTGATTTCAATACGCCCAAAATCGCCTCAGATGATTTGCCCGTCTTTATGGGTCTGATTACCGATCTTTTTCCATCAATGGACGTGCCACGGAAGAGAGATTTAGCTTTTGAAGAAGAGGTACGAAAAGCTGCCGTGGATTTGAAACTACAACCCGAAGAAAATTTTGTTCTCAAAGCTGTGCAACTGCAGGAATTGCTCGCTGTTCGTCACTCAGTTTTCGTTCTCGGCAATGCAGGCACTGGGAAATCTATGATTTGGCGCGCCCTGTTTAGGGCGAACCAGAACTTGAAGAAGAAACCTGTCGCGGTGGATTTGGATCCAAAAGCAGTGACCAACGATGAACTCTTCGGCGTCATAAATCCCGCTACTAGAGAATGGAAAGACGGTCTGTTTTCAGTAGTGATGCGGGACCTTTCCAGACTGAAGCATGATGGACCCAAATGGATAGTGCTGGATGGTGATATCGACCCCATGTGGATTGAATCCCTGAATACTGTGATGGATGATAACAAGGTCCTCACCCTGGCTAGCAACGAGAGAATTCCATTGACACCTAGCATGCGACTCGTTTTTGAAATTAGCCACTTGAAAACAGCCACACCAGCAACTGTCTCTCGGGCTGGCATTCTTTTCGTCAATCCTCAGGTCAGCATTGCATTTAACTTTGAGTATGTGCAATTACCATCTTCCAACTGGCTACTTCCTATTTGCAAATCGAGTGACTCTGTTGGATGATTTTGTAAGGACTTTTGCTATTTCAAATCGTATTTTAGGACCTGGGATGGGCACCGTATGTCTACTCCTGGTTGGCCTCCCGTGACAACCGTTCTGAGCAGGCTAATATAGGATTTCTCATTGAAACCTACGTTCCAATCTGCCTGGAGGCCCTTCGAACGCGGTTTAAGACCACTGTGCCATTAGTCGAGTTGGGCCATGTGCAGACCCTGTGTCACCTGCTGGAGGTTCACCTCACCCCCACAAACACGCCTCCTGATACACCCAAGGAGGTTTACGAGGCCTTCTTTGTATTTTGCGCTGTTTGGGCCTTTGGGGGCGCCTTGGCACAGGACCAGTTGGTTGATCACAGGGTGGAGTTTTCCAAGTGGTGGATCGAGGAATTCAAATCTGTTAAGTTTCCTGCCACCTCGGGTGCCACGGTGTTTGATTTCTATCTCGATCCGGAGACCAAGAAGTTTGAACCGTGGAGTAAGAAGGTTGAACAATTCATTCTAGATCCAAATGAACCGCTACAGGTACGTCATTACCTTAAAATTTCTTAAATAATTCAGTTGAAATAATCTAAAGACTTCTGGTTTATCGGTGAAGAACGTTTTTTTCATCGTTGGAACAAACCGTGAAGATGTCTTCGTGAACGGATTTAAAGCATTCATCACTTCCTTCTAGACGGCGCATGTGTCGACTACGGAGACGGCGCGAATTCGATACTTCCTCAATCTTCTAGTCGCAGCTCGTCGACCCGTCATGCTGGTCGGGGGTGCAGGGACCGGAAAGACCGTTCTGGTGCAGAATCTGCTTCGGGACCTTGGAGAGGATTTTCTTGTGGTTAATGTGCCCTTGAATTTCTACACCACAAGCGAGATGCTCCAGCGAGTGTTGGAGAAACCACTGGAAAAGAAAACTGGTCGTTGCTACGGTCCACCGGGTAGCAAACGCCTTATCTACTTCATCGATGACCTAAACATGCCAGAAGTGGACGCCTACTTTACGGTGCAGCCGCATACCCTGATCCGACAACACATTAACCACTCGCATTGGTACGATCGGGCCAAACTCACATTGAAGGAGGTCACTAACGCCCAGTATGTGACCTGCATGAATCCCACGGCGGGTAGTTTCACCATTGATTCACGACTGCAGGTACACATCTTCCACACTCCCTCTCTCTCTCAGCCTGCCACGTACTGAGTCACCTAATGCTGTTCCTCCTCTTCACTTCAGCGTCACTTTGCCATCTTTAATATCAGTTTTCCAGGAAGAGATGCTGTTCACTCAATCTACAACTCCATCCTCTCGCAACATCTTCAACTGCCTTCTGCAGATTTTCCACAAATCGTGCAGCGCCTAGCCTCCAGCCTCACTGGCCTAGCCGTTGACTTCCATGCCCGAATAACGGCCACATTCTTACCAACTGCTTTGAAGTTTCACTACGTTTTCAACTTACGTGATCTCACAAATGTTTTTCAGGTTAGTAAAATTGTTTATCAAATCTTTCCTTGTCAAAATACCCATGTATTGATACGAAGAACAGTAGATCTGCTTGAAAATTTTTTTTCCTATCAGGGCCTCTTATTTTCGAAAGATGAGTGTCTTAAGGCTCCACTCGATTTGCTGCGTCTCTGGATTCATGAAACTGAGCGGGTCTACGCGGACAAGTTGACAGATGCATCTGATCAGACCGCCTTTGACAAGCTCCTGCATGATTTTGTCATTAAGCATTTCACAGAGTTAGACGTCGAGGAGAGTGTCATCTTCTCCAAGCCCCTCCTCTACTGTCACTTTATTCAGGGTTTTAATGATCCTCGTTACCTTCCGGTGGAGTCAAATGATACCCTAGCAAAGCTGTTAAATGACGCGTTGGTAAATTACAATGAGATGTACGCCGCTATGAATCTTGTCCTCTTTGAGGATGCGATTGAACATATTCTGAGAATTGATCGTATTCTTGAATCACCACGAGGCAATGCTCTACTGGTTGGAATCGGTGGTTCGGGTAAGCAATCACTTTCACGCCTGGCTGCGTTCATCAGTTCTCTCGAGGTCTTTCAGATTGTCGCCAGGAAGGGCTACTCTGTCACCGACTTAAAAGCCGATCTGGCTGCGCTGTATCGAAAGGCAGGACTCAAAAACGTCGGAACCGTGTTTCTTCTTACTGATGCCCAAGTATTAGAAGAAAAGTTCCTTGTGATAATAAATTATCTACTAGCATCGGGAGAGATTCCTGATCTCTTCGCTGACGATGAGGTGGAGGAGATTATTTCTGCTGTTCAATCAGAAACGAAGGCTGCAGGTATTCTGGATACCAGGGAGAATTGCTGGCAGTTTTTCATCAACAAGGTCAGACGAACGCTAAAAGTGGTTCTATGTTTCTCCCCAGTCGGCCCGAAGCTTCGTATGCGTGCTAGGCGTTTTCCAGCGCTGGTCAACTGCACAACCATCGACTGGTTCCATGAGTGGCCAGAAGAAGCCTTGCTCTCTGTATCGAAGCGATTTGTGTCTGAAATTAGCCTTCTTGATCCAGCCCTATGTGAACCCATTTCTACATTCATGTCTCATGTGCATAAGACGGTGAATGATGTGAGCAGAGACTACTTAACCAACGAGAAGCGCTACAATTACACCACTCCCAAGTCTTTTCTAGAACAGATTCACTTGTATGAAAACATGTTAAATAGACGAGACGAGGAGATTCGAGGTAACATTGCCCGTTTAGAAAATGGCTTGCAAAAGCTGGAAAGCACTGCTCAACAGGTTGACGATCTGAAAGCAAAATTAGCCACTCAGGAGGTCGCACTAGCTGAGAAAAATGAGGATGCCAACAAGTTGCTGGCTATTGTTAGCGCGGAGACAGAGAAAGTGGTTGCCGAGAAGGCGGTAGCTGATGAGGAGGAAAAGAAGGTGGCAAAGATTCGAGCAGAAGTTTCAGTCAAACAGCGGGAATGTGAGGTAGACCTTGCTAAGGCCGAGCCGGCACTTGTGGCTGCCCAGGAGGCCCTAAATACACTAAATAAGAGTAACCTGACGGAAATGAAGTCTTTTGGCACGCCACCGCCGGCTGTTGTTAAAGTTGTCGCCGCTGTCGCTTGTCTCCTGGCTCCACAAGGTCGAGTACCCAAAGATCGCAGTTGGAAAACCGCCAAGGCCGGAATGATGAGTAAGATAGACCAGTTTCTTGATAATCTGATCAACTATGACAAGGAAAATATGCATGAGAACTCGCTAAAAGCTGTAGCCGAGTATCTGAAGGACCCCGAATTCGACCCTAATCTAGTTCGCAGTAAATCTCTCGCTGCTGCCGGACTCTGCTCGTGGGTCATCAACATAGTCAAATTTCATGAGGTCTTCTGTGTAGTGAAACCCAAGCGAGAGGCTTTGGACGAGGCCAACAAGGAGTTGCAAGGTGCCACCGAGGCTTTGGATAAAATTCGAGAAGAGATTGGCCACCTAGAGAGTAAGTTAGCGGAGTTGACTGTCAACTTTGAAAACGCCAAGACTGAGAAGCAGAAGTGTCAGGACGAGGCAGACAACACAAAAAAAACCATCGACTTGGCCAATCGCCTTGTAGGCGGTCTCGCCTCGGAGAAGCTTCGGTGGTCGCAACAGATCGAAGAGCACAATGTTCAGGCCTCATGCCTTCCTGGAGATGTCCTCATAACCGCCGCCTTCCTGTCCTATCTTGGCTACCTCACTAAAAAGTACCGATCCGATTTACTTGACAAATTGTGGATGCCCTTTCTGAAAACTCTACAGCCCGCAGTTCCGATGACACCTGACCTTGACCCGCTTTCTTTACTGGTGGATGATGCACTTGTAGCAAAGTGGAACAATGAGGGACTGCCCAGCGACCGGTTTTCAGTGGAGAACGCTGCTATACTTACCTCTTCGGAGCGTTGGCCTCTCCTTGTAGATCCCCAATTACAAGGTATTAAATGGATTAAGACGCGCTACGCTGAAGACCTTAAAGTTCTTAGACTGGGTCAAAAAGGCTACCTTGATGTCATCGAGAAGGCAATTTCAGAGGGAGCTGTTGTTCTGATTGAGAACATCGACCTCGTTATTGATCCAGTCTTGGAACCCCTCATCGGTCGGAACACGACCAGGAGAGGCACAGCGATCCGTCTGGGTGGAAAGGAAATCGACTATAACCCAGCGTTTAAATTGATCCTGCAGACTAAGTTGGGCAATCCGCACTATGCACCAGAGTTGCAGGCACAGACGACACTCATTAATTTCACGGTGACTCGTGACGGCTTGGAGGACCAACTTCTAGCTAATGTAGTCCGAAAGGAGAGACCAGACTTGGAGAATTTAAAATCCGACCTCACTCGACAGCAAAATGAGTTTAAAATCACTCTGAAGAACCTCGAAGACGCCTTGCTGGCGAAGCTTTCAGAGGCGGAGGGTAACTTTCTAGGTAACTATGCCCTTGTCGAAAATTTGGAAACAAATAAGCGAACAGCGGCAGAAATTCAAGGTAAAGTTCAACAGGCAAAGGTGACAGAGGCGGAGATTAACACGGCCCGTGAGATCTACCGGCCAGCCTGTGAGCGTGCCGCGATACTCTACTTCATTGTCAGCGATTTGAATAAAGTCAATCCCATTTACCAGTTCTCTCTGAAGGCCTTTGGTTGTGTCTTTGACGCAGCTATGACCCGAGCCGAGACCTCTGAAGATGTGAAATCGCGTGTGACAAATATTATCAACTCGGTGACGTATTCTGTGTACGTGTACACATCGAGGGGTCTCTTTGAAAAGGACAAACTATTGTTTACAGCTCAAGTCGCCTTCCAAGTGTGTCAAGCGAGAGGTGAGGTGAATGCACAAGAACTGGACTATCTTTTACGCTTCCCCGTTACACCAAACGTGACCAGTCCTGTCGACTTTATCACCAACATCGGTTGGGGTGCAATAAAGGCTCTAACTACTCTGGAGACTTTTAATAACCTAGACTCTGACATTGAGGGCTCTGCCAAGCGCTGGAGAAAGGTGGTCGATAGTGAAAAGCCTGAAAACGAAAGACTACCACAAGAATGGAAGAACAAGACCCACCTGCAACGTCTGTGCATCCTCCGCGCTTTGCGACCGGATCGCATGCTGTATGCCATTCGCAATTTTGTCTCTGCTAATCTCGGGAAGGTGTTTACTGAGGGAAGCAGTCTTTCATTTGCCGAGTCCTTTGAAGAGTCTGGACCAGCAACTCCGATCTTCTTCATTCTCTCACCAGGTGTTGATCCACTGAAAGATGTCGAGGCTCTTGGACGGCAGATTGGTTTCACTAGTGATAGGAAAAATTTCCACAACATCTCCTTGGGTCAAGGTCAGGAGAGTGTTGCCGAGGAAACGATGAAGTTGTCTGCACATGAAGGCCATTGGATTATTTTGCAGAATGTACATCTGGTGGCAAAATGGCTGCCGGCTTTTGAGAAGCTTCTGGAAGAGCTTATGGACGGAGCACATGAAAACTACCGAGTGTTTATAAGCGCCGAGCCCGCAAGCTCACCTGAGTTCCATGTAATTCCACAGGGAGTACTGGAGAATTCCATCAAGATTACGAATGAACCACCCACTGGTATGCAGGCGAATATTCACAAAGCCCTAAACAATTTCACTCAGGCAACGCTGGAAATGAGCATAAAGGAATATGAATTTAAGATGATTCTATTCACACTCTGTTACTTTCATGCTGTGGTGTGTGAACGTCGAAAGTTTGGACCACAGGGCTGGAACCGCGTCTATCCATTCAACACTGGTGACCTGACAATCAGTGTCGATGTGCTCTACAACTATCTTGAGGTAAATAACGATATACCCTGGGAAGGTCTGCGTTATCTTTTCGGGGAGATAATGTACGGCGGACATATTACTGACGATTGGGACAGACGTCTGTGTAAAACATATTTGGAAGAGTATATAACCACAACCATGATGGATGGTGACCACTTACTCGCTCCTGGGTTCAAGGCTCCTCCAAATTCAGACATGGCTGGCTATCACAAGTACGTAGATGCCAACCTGCCACCAGAATCACCCTACCTCTATGGAATGCATCCAAATGCAGAGATAGATATTCTTACTGTAGAATCCGAGAAGCTGTTTCGAAGACTGCTTGAAATGATGCCTCGGGAAAGTAAGGAGGGTGAGCAGACAGATGATAGCTTAGAAAAAAATGTTCAGACAAAGCTTGAAGACATTCTTGGGAGACTGCCAGAACCATTTAACATGCAGGATCTGCACTCACGCGTACCTCCTGAGGAAAGAACTCCATTCGCCATTGTCGCCCTTCAGGAGTGCGATCGCATGAACATTCTTTTGAGGGAGATTTTACGTTCCCTCAAGGAGTTAAGTCTAGGATTGAAGGGTGAACTAACCATAAGTCCAGAGATGGACGCCCTACAAAATGCACTCTTTTTTGACACAGTTCCACAAACATGGACTACCAGAGCTTATCCCAGTCTCTACCCATTGGGTCTGTGGTACGCGGACCTGATTGCGAGAGCGAGGGATTTGGAGATTTGGGTGACTGACTTCACGTCGCTGCCAAGTGCAATCTGGTTGGGAGGGCTGTTCAATCCACAATCCTTCCTCACTGCAATCATGCAGCAGATGTCACGAAAGAACGAATGGCCACTGGATCGAGTGACCCTGAATGTGGATGTGACGCGGAAGACAAGGGAGGAGCTGACAGGACCCCCAAGGGGCGGCGCGTTCGTGCACAGCCTCTTTGTGGAAGGTGCACGGTGGGACACACAGACTGGTCTGCTGGCGGAGGCAAAGCCCAAGGAGTTGGTCTCCGCTCTACCCATCGTCTTTATCAAGGCCGTTCCCGTTGACAAACAGGACACACGAGGCACCTATGCCTGTCCCGTGTATAAGACGAAGAGCCGCGGTCCCACGTATGTGTGGACATTTAACTTGAAAACGAAGGCCAAACCTGCCAATTGGGTGCTTGGTGGTGTGGCAATCATTCTACAAGTTTAACTCTCCTCAGAAGTCGTCAGACACTTGCAATCACATTCCTTGCACTTACTGTGACATATTTCATTTAATCTACTTACATGTTATAAGTAGCTGCCCACTCTCTTTTGTCTTAAGCGGAGTTTTGAATGCAGTTTTTGCAGCATTTGAGTTAACCTTGAAGCCACGGCATCGTATACAAGTATGAAGCGAGTATCTGATGAGCATCTAGAGGAGCTGAAAGTTCACTGGCTCAGGTGACTCTGAAGGTGTCTTCTGGAATCGCCAGAGACTAGAGGTTATAATTAGCCAGCTACTGCATGACCTTGTATGGTGGAACGTCTAACTTATTCTGCATCCATCAAAGGTCATTGTTCTGCTTCGGTCATCTCAAATTAATCCGTGAGTTGAAATCGGCCACAGAAGAAGAAATGTGATGATTGGTGAATTCGCAGCATATGTTATGCGCTGTAATCGAAATCGTAGGTTTCGATGGATCCCCTAGATACCACCATATCGGTTTTCAATGTTAGAAAAAACTTTAAAAGTTAGCATAACCCGGCTTCTTGAAGGCAACATAGAGGGGTGGGGGTGTAAAGTGCCTACTAATCACGGTTTCCAATCCCTGTGATAGAGGAGACCTTTCTGCCACTACCGACAACTACTAAGAGAGTGAGGCAGTTACACAAATTGATGTGGTCTCGGTACACTCTCCTCTGAAAGTCTCCACAACAGTTGCGTTGCATCAATGGTGTCTCGATCTTGTCCCCCTTTAAGGTTTAAATGTTAAAACTGCCTCCAGCATGGAAATTCAATTATTGTTGGAGGCGTGAACCAACTTTTGAAGTCGCGTGATGTCAAAGAGACCACTAAAGGAAATGCCGCTGTAATGCAAGGTACTGTTCAGTATGCTTGGTTTACTTCTAGGTTTAATCAAATGAAATTACCATTTAACATGGTTATGAGAATTAGGGTATTCACACCTCTCCGAAATTTGATTTAAGGACAATCAAGGCGAATTGCTGCGTGAGTACCACGTAGTGGATAGGTTGCTCCTCCCAGAAGCTGATTAGCGAATTTGGCATGTTGACTTTTCAGCCCTTATCCTTGTCGCAACCAGGTGGTGCATTGGGGTTGTGGGTGACCAGAATGAACATTATGTGTTCATTTAAGGCAGGTAAATGGCACCTCACTGGCACTCCTCCTCCAACGAGGCGTAAACAAGCCGAAAGTCCTGCGGACATCCAGATTTGATAGTTCGCCATGGTCAGCCATCTAGCTTTGTCACCCTTTGTCAGGTGAACGGTAGGAGGTTGAGGCGAGTAGGCAAGGTCAAAAAGTCACTCAGCTCAGCCATCCATGATCTAAACATTAGAGTTGTTGATGGCTAGTTAGGTGCAGGTAGAATTGCGGTCTGTAGTACCTAGGGTTGACTATGTGACTAGGTTGGAATAGGCGTAATAATCGCATGCCTTCCAATGTGACACAGATGGGCAAAAAAGGAGGTTGTGTTTGCCAATCCTCGTTACCAAGCTGGCGAGATGTTTGTTTAGGGTGTGCGAGTGAGCTTGCTGTGGGGACTGCAGAAACATGCCATTTTAGGTCTGCTGTCGCTGTCACAACTACCACCAAACCATCGCCCACTGCTCCATCTGACACTAGTACTTCGGTACAGAGATTCATCCGTGAACTCTCTGTCTCCATCCTTTGGATGTTCCCATTTCGGTCAAGCACTTCAAGTTTTCGTTGAATAATGCAAGGCTTCTTTTGCGAAACACTACCACCATTCAGAGGGTGATATTCTTGCAGGGAATGCTGAGCTGTGGCGTAGTTCACGACTTCAGAGACGACATAGCACTTTCAATGCATAACTTGGAGACCTGGGTAAGGCTTGATATGACCTTCCATCATGCCATCTTTTGTCATTTGCTTAGAGAAAACTTCGTTTTACTGAAAAGAACTAATCCCGTCGGTTTTCATGGGCTGCTTACTTTATCCACTTGTACCTGGATTCCATGATTCTGTCAGGTTTTAACGGCCTCGGAGAGCTCTCACCTCCCAAGTCTAATAGTCAAGCTTGGATAATCAGGTTGACAGGAAACCATTCTGATTATTTAATTTTGATGCTCCTAGCCGCTGTTATGAATGGTAGATCGTGGATACAATCGACGTTTCCGTTCACTTGACTATAGCGAAAACATTCTGGGGGGGAGGGTACCAGGAGGGATCAGACGATTTCTATAAAAAAAGCGCTATTACAGAATGTCCGTGACACATGGCTAGTCAGGTCTTCCCCTAATCTGTGGTTGGTATTAGTGCTCCATGATGAAGCTTGGAATGGGAGTAAAGCTGACTGATGGACTGGAATACCAATTTACAGAAGGTATGTGGGCCACTGGCATGGTCCTAAGGCCAGCCTGTCCGGTACTGTAAAACGACCAAGTTGAAAGCGGATCTTCAGCAAAACTGAGAGTTAAACAGCCATCGTATTACACAGTCCCTTACCTCTTTTGAGCGTCGTCTCCGGCGCCCCCTTGCTCAACATCTCGTGTCAGCCATCACTACGTAGTCGGTGCCCTAAGGAAACACCTACGAGCTGGTCGTGACAGTCATCGAATTTCTATGCAAATGAGGGAACACTTGACCACATCATCACTGACTTTACCAGTCTGGACATTACACCTAGTTAGCATCTGGAGTGCGACAGTTCAATGTTCCAAGCTACCCCACAGACGATGACAATGTTCACCACCGGTGATCTTGTAACATACAACACAGAAGGCGCCATTTGCAGTGCAAAGGGTAGTGCAATGTCACAATGTACCCACCACTGACTATTAATGAGGGAGACAGGTGAGGAGGGGTAAGGGTGGGTCGGACCCTAAATGGACGACTAAAGTTACTAGCATCCGGTGTTTTGATAGGTGTTGGTTTACTGTCTAACCCTTTCACACGTGGGAGTCCCGGCTGACTGGAGCCATGGTAAGCCGAGGCAAGCGACGGAGAACAGTGGCGCCAAAGCCCTGGACTTGGAGCAACATTGTTATGCACTCAATTGTTCATTCTTGGCGGCCATAAATCAGCTGAATTAAAAAATCTTGGCATTCCCTTTAAATTTTTTCTTTAGTTAACGCATATTTATTATCCTCAAACAAGTTCCAAGGCTGACCGATCTGAATAATAACTTGTAGCATATTTCCAAGAAAAGTTATTTAACTTTACACTGAAGCTTCAGCCCACTTTATACTTCCGTAGAGCAGAGGTATGCCAAAGCATGAAAGATGTTGGAAATTTTTCGCGCTTCTACTACATAAAATCACCTCTGTAACCACAACATGAATGTGCAAATCACGCCAACACCGCACAAATTTTTCAAACAAAAACTTGGCAAAAGATTTTACGGAAAAAGGATTAGCAGAGAGAAATTTGTATTCGCAACAAGGACAAAAGTCTGGTTCACGTACCCCCCATCGTACTCGCCAGAATACGCTCCTAGCGCCCTAATGGAGACGTCGTAGCGCAGTAATTTCCTCATGTGGGACCACCGATTATGCTGCAGACTTCAAAGGCAGTGCCGTTGACGATTGTCCATGTCTATGATTTCAACAGTGAAAATTGCACTGTTCACATTCCGACTACGGCGTCATTGTGCTCTGTAACCTCGATTTGGCGGCGCATAACACCATGCATCGGTTACTACGCAAGAGAAAGACTCTTGTCTCCTCCTAAGTTGGGCAAAAGAGGGCAGCTGGTGGGGAACTCTTCGCGGTGCTTGCAACAACTTCTCCCCCACTATTAGTCCAAGTTTTTATCTTACAATCAAACAAAGCACACCCCACACAGAGGCACATTTATTGCCAAAAACTACTTCTTAGTGGATACAAAAAGCCGAGTCGCGTGCTTAAGAATAACACCGAGGGGGCCTGTCTCAGTAGCCAATTCTTGTGCAAAGACAAGGGTCACAAACAAGTCCTAAATAAGCAGCCTTAAGAGGGCAAAGAGAGCATTCATGAACCACACGGAGACTGTAACAAGAGGCTCATCAAACTGCAATTGCTTGAGGGGCTACATTTGGCTCATCTGACGTAAAGCGCCAGATGGAGCAGTTTGCAAAGCGTCTGGACAAATCGGACCTCCGAGTGGCCACCCATTTGAGCACAAACAATACCTTCTATCAAAGGCGGAAAAAGCTTTTTAGTAAGGCACAAATTATATGCCTAATAAACATGTCACTACAGCGCTTTGACCCCCCGTCTCAGATCCGATGACCCATTCCCAAGACTGGTAGGCACATATCGGGTGGAAAGAAGCCAAGGCACTGATGTATAAAAGAGCTGCAAGTTGCTTTGACGTCGTCTGTCGCCCAGACAGGGGACGGGCATGGTGTGGTCTGGATAAAGGCGTCAGTAATTAGTTAGTTGTCTCACTTTTTGGAAAGATGACTGCCTTAATCGGGTTGTAACAATCTGCTATTTCGCTGCGGCCGCAGCTAATGTTGCAATGATGGTAGCAGAGTAGGCGGCGCCTAGTAAGAAGGACAGCGGTTAGGGCTAGAACAGGTGCCACCGCTATCTTTTAGATCCATCGCTACTCGTTCCACACGCATGCTGCAAAGTTGACCTCCACCCGATATCGCATGTCAAGCTTCTTTTTACTCGCAAATCGCTACTCTCATGGATATGCGTAGGGCAAGTTGACGGTTGGGAAAGTTCCAACGGGCATGTGAGCAACTACTTTTGTCAAATCTGCAGGAAAATCTTGTGCGTACTTGGCTGTAAAAATTGTGATCAACGGCCTCGCAAAGTCATTTAAACATGCACACTCGAATGTATAGGAAGAAAGTGACATAAATATAAGTGCTTAAGTAACGTTTGCAGAAATTGCATAATTACGTCAAAACACTTTGGTGAGGGTGAATGTTTAAAGTGTAGAATATGACCTTTCATCTGAAAACATTGAAATACTTAACCCGACTGCCCCTCGCCCATTCCCGCAAAATCGCTTCTCCCCATTCGTTTCCGCCT